TCCCAAAAACCAGTACTTTTCCTAAAACCTTCCGGAATCTGAATTTTTCCAATTTAAAAAAACCTTTCCCCTTGCGATTTCCCGGGTCAAGGCAAAGTTATTTTCGGGCCACACTATTTACTTCCCCCTTTAATTTTTTCCCTGCTTCCTTTTAATAAAACCTAAATTTCATATCCCCCCTAATTCAACTCTTTTTTAGAGAGTGCATTTTTCAGGGCCCTTAGCCCTATCCCATGGGGAAAGGGTTTTCTGATACAGGGGATCAACTTTGTCACCCTTTTTCCCCTTTTTTGTACATTTTCCAGAGAATTTATATCCTTTCTGTAATCGGTCCCCCAAAAACTGTGAAAGCTTTAATCTAAGTAAAAGGCCCTTTTAACCCCAAGGAGTATAAGTTGAAGAAAAAAACCCTGAGGACTCCTATTTATTTATGTTTCTTAAAAGAAGCCAAGGATTTCTATTAGCTTTATTGGAACACTTAAAGGCAGTTGTTTTGGGTTTTTCAGATTACTTGCTAACCAAAAAACCCTTTAAAATTTTTTTCCGAAACCCGGGTAATATTAAAAATCTAATTTTTTTGTTTATATGTGGCATGGTTATTGCCCGGGGTCCAAAAATTTTAAAACTTTGCATTTGTCTATTTAAACTGCATCTCCCCCATTTCCCTCCGACCACTGCATCAGTCTATTCAAATTTTCCCTGGAGTGCTAAAAGGTCCTCGTCGAAAAAATTCGACGGCCTATTTTGGGGGTCATGGGCAAATTTTCCGATGTCGCTCTTTATGCCCTCTTTTAAATTTAAGGGAAAATTGGTTTATCGGGGTTTGGAAAGGGGGAAAGAAAGGGGGAGGTAAAAGTATTCGGAAAAATTTAGGATTGGCCCATGGTAAGCAGATGGGTCTATACACAAAAAAACCCGCACTAAAAGAAGAAGCTTACGACGATGTTTGGGCCCGACTTGGCCCATTGAAAAAGCACTTTTAAAAGGGCCAATCGGACCAAAAACGTGCCCAAAGCTTCTCTTTTTTTATGTGCGGGTTATTTGTGAAATCGTTCCCAGTCACGGTATTTTTGTTTTTTTTTTGTTTTTTTTTATAATGGGGCTATGTTGGACTTTCAGCAAAAATGGGGGGTGAGGGAAATTAAGACAATGTGAAACATCTGGGTTCTTTTTTGTAACTTTTTTCCCCTTTATTTTTCCGATTTAAATCAATAAAAAAACTGGGAATAATTTGAAACAGTAGGACTAATAAAAAGAATTGGGGTTTAATCAGTCCCTAAACCCTAGGGTAGGTGCGAAGAGCCCCAAATTTTCCGGGGGAAAAATCTCCACGATTTACAGTGCTTTTTTACACCTACTCCTGGGTTGGGGGGGACTGTTTACCTCATTTTCTGTACATAGTTCAAACGTCTTCAATTTATGTCCGGGAATTATTTTATTGATAAAGCCACGGATGGCGAAACGTCTACAAAAAAAGATACCCAGATGTTGAAAACATGTGCCCTTAATTTCATCTTGTCGGTATTATATCCCCTTTTTTGGCACAAAAATAGGATTGTTTAGATAGGAGCGAATGGAACAAAGGGTTTTTTTTATAATAACATCGTTGGAGGTGGAGCGGGGGTAGTATTTATGAAGGGATTTCGGGGAAACGGCGGGCCAGCCCTTGATTTCCTAAAAGATAGGAAGTCGTGCCTGCACTCTGAAGGGGGGTTTTAATGTTGCATTTTTTATAACAAATTTGGTAAGCCACCCCTTTTCTGCCAAGACAGTGAGGGAGTGAATGATTTTTAAATTTTTTTTTTTCGGGCCAAACCCTCCTTGGTGGGAAAAGGGCCATTGTGTTAATAATAATAAAAAAAAAGTGTGGGTTTCTGAGTAAAAGGTTTTTTGTGTATGGAACCTGATGAAAAAAATTTCACAGCACTAGCTTTTTAAAAAAAATTCCTACCCCAAATTTTTGGGTGCTCTTTTCCAGTTTATAATAGTTTAATTTTCTTTCCACTGGGACAAAAAGGAGTGGTCTGGTCCCACCTTAAAAACAGAAATTTGCAAAAATTGCCACGGGGCAAGACAGTGAGGGAGTGAAATGATGGGAATTTTTTTTTCTTTTGGGCCACTTTACCTTGGGGGGGAAAGGGCCCCGATTTTGTTAAAAATGGAAAAAATACTGAAATAAACATTTAAAAAAAAACCAAAAAATTTTTAAAAAAAATGGTGGAAAGTTGAACAAAAACAAAAAAACAAAGTTTTTGACAAAAAACCCACTACCTTTATTATTTATCCCTCCTCACTTAGCGACAAATTTTTTTAAGTGATTTGGTCTTAGGAAGGGGAACCCGTTTTAAGTGAGGAGATGGGTTGTACTATTTTTTTTGGCGGCACTTAATCATTCCCCTCAAAAGTAAAAGAAAATAAAAAATGCAAATTATATCCACATGGGGGCCCTGGGGGCCTGGTGGTTTAAAGCTCTCGGGTTCCCCACGACGAGGGGCCCGGGTTCATTCCCCTCCAGAATAAAACATTGGAAATTTTTTTCCCCCTGTTTTTTTATGTTCCCCCCCTCAGGGAAAAAAGGGTTTCCTGGGTGTTAGTGGACTGGTGTGGGTCGCATCCCGGGAAAATGACCTAAGGAAAGGGCCCGGTCACAGACCGGGGGCCCCGGGGGCGTTGACCCCCGGAACTCTCTCCCCCAATAGGGTTACAAATCAAGAGTTAACTCACATATTTGTATTTTTTCCCCCTTTTTAAATTTTTTTTACACAAAACAAATTTAAACATGTGGCCTTTTAAAAAAAATTTTTATTTTGTAATGCAATTTTTGTATATTTAGGCAGCAAAGGGTCTAGGAACTCCGTATAAAAATTTTTTTTAAAACAAACGGCCGTTTTTTTCCACCAAGGTTGGTGACCAGAAAAAGAAGAAACACTTTCTTTATCACTCCAAATCCCCTCACTGTCTTCCCGAGGCTGTCGACACTAAAAGGTTTTTGGGGGCTGCAACTTTCAAATTTTTTTTTTTTTTTCTTTTTTTTGGGGTTTCCCTTTTCCCCGGAAAAATCCCCTCGTGGGTTAAAAAATTTCGGTCCCTGCTTTTTTTTTTTTCCCCTCACTGTGTGGGGCCCGGATTTTTTTTTAAATTGCATACCCCATAAAACCCATTTCATTTAATCTATTTTTATGAAACAAACCATACCCCGGGGAGAGATAGAACCCCCATCAAAGAGTCTAAAACTCCCGACCGGGTTTTTTTTGCAAACTTTCATTACCCAAATTTTGTGAGTTTTTTGCTATTTGGGTTTTAAATTTTTTTTAATTTTTTTTGTTCCCAAAAATTTCGGAGTTCACTCTTTTTTAAAATTTAAAATTTTTCTAAATTTAGGTTTACATTACTAACAAAACCTTTTTGTTAAGCTAATTCATTTTTACATAACTAGGCCCCAGATTTATTGCTCACAGCTTATCTGATGAAACCCAGCTCATTTACGTAGTTCTACATCACGGACCCTGACCTCAGAAAACCCTAGAAATATTGGGGTTTACCGCAAAAAGGGGTTTTAAAAAAAAAAAAAAAAAATTATCATTTTTTAAATTTAAAACAATAGTAATTTAGTAAAAATTTTTTTTGCAGCTAAAGATTTTGGCCCGTTTCCTGGCGGGAAAAGGGGGTCCGGAAATGTGGCTTTAAACCCGGGGAGAAACCTTGTATTATTTTTCTTAGAGATCAGGTCAGCTTTTATCCAGGGTTTTTGTACAGGGAGGGGGAAAACCCCAAATTGTGTTACAACAACAAACACCGTTTTTAAACCCCGATCTTAAAAGCAGGGGCCCTTGACTTGGGGTGTTTCAACTTTTTTGATGGTGCAAAAACAAAACAGTGGACCCCCCCCTTGACGATCACCTCCCAATGCAACCCTTTTTGTTAAATGTATTTATGTAGGTGCATTTGAAAGTGTAAGTTTGGGGGGGCTAAAAAGGACTAATCCCACTTTTACAATATTTCCCCCCTTTTTGGGGGGAAAAAATTTGGTCGTTTCTGGCACCCGAACATACTTTTGGAATGAAAAAAAACGTTAAAGGGGGGGGCCCCGTAAATTTGAATAAAAATTTAACACGTGGGAAGGGCAGCAAGTTTAAAAAATTTGTTTTTAAATTTTTTTTTTTTTCATATTTTGGGAAATTTTTTTACAGTAAATTAAATTTGGGTTTAAACTACTTTTCCCCAATAGTTATTAACTTACTTATTTATCATATCATTCATATTTGACTTAGGATATACAGTGGACCCCCGCTTAACGATCACCTCCCAATGCGACCAATTATGTAAGTGTATTTATGTAAGTGCGTTTGTACGTGTATGTTTGGGGTCTGAAATGGACTAATCTACTTCACAATATTCCTTATGGGAAAAAATTCGGTCAGTACTGGCACCTAAACATACTACTGGAATGAAAAAAGTTTGTTAACCGGGGGTCCACTGTATTCAGATTATGACGGGTTTGTCGGAATGTCACCCATCGTACGTCGAGGACCACCTGTATAGCTAACAATATTACAAAGAATAATTGTTTCACACATGGTTTAAAAAGATACATGAAAAACGCTAGGTTATATTTAACAGAAAATATTTTGGTTCCGGGAGAGCAAAACGTTGCCACATTAAAATGTCACATTAGTTGCACTTGTGTCTTTTTACCTAACAAGTTATTTGTTTCAGTATTATTTGTGGTATTAGAAATTCATGACAGGGCATCAGATGGCTAGTTACCTTTAATCTGATATGAAAAATATTTTAAATCTCTTTGCTAACATAATCATTTAATTAAATTTTAGTCTAAAAGTGAAAAAAAGCATATTTAGAAAATGGTAAATTTTTAACAGCTGTTTTTTACAGGGACGCCAATGGAAATAAGTTACTTGGATTTTTTGGGGGGTCATTCTGGTGGGTAATTATTATATATGTTGCTATGTATGATTATACTTATATGTACCTGTACCTAAATGAACTTACAGGATGTGATAGAGTACCGACGTAAAGTGCGTACGCTAAAAGTGCGTATGTTGGACGGTACTGTCAAGACCCTGCTAGTGGACGACTCCCAACCAGTGTCTCAGTTAATGGTGGTTATCTGCACCGAAAATTGGTATGTTGGCTATTTTGTTATATATTTTTTTCAGTGTGTAACTGTGTTAGGGGCTAGTGTCTCTTATTGTATAAATTACTTGATGTAAAAAGAAAGTAAACTTTATACAAATAACTTGCATTTAGGAGAGAGAGAAAAGCATATGACGACATTTCGGTCCAGTTTGGACCATTAACAAAGTCACTTTGTAAATGGTTCAGGTCAGACTGAAACACCACCATAAGTCTCTCTCCTGCGTGCCGGTTCTTTGTGTATTGTTCCAGTCACGGCATTGTGCCTTTTTGTTCTTTCAAGATGAACTTTATAGTTTTATTCTCTTTTGGGCCACCGTGCCTCGGTGGGTGACTGCCCGTGTGTTGAAAAAATTTCTTCATTGTATTGCTGTGATTCGTTTATGTTAGGAATTGCTATACCTTCCATATATCTTTGATGAGTTTTGCGAGTCTTTCTACTCCAGAGCCGAACCATGGGTTACTTGTATACAGTATGTCTAAGCCACATGACTTGTGCTGGGTCAACACTGGTTTTTTTATGTTCTGGTATTGAAAGAGGCGGTTACAAGGGGTTTAGAGGATCAACCCTTCATCACTACTCATACTGAATGATCCACGTGGGTTTAGAGGATGGAGGATCAAGCCTTCATCACTTCTTGTGCTGAATGATCCACCTGGGTTTAGAGGACATCGGATCGATCCTCCAGCACTCCTTGTACTGGATGATCCACATGGGTTTAGAGGATGGAGGATCAAGCCTTCATCACTTCTTGTGCTGAATGATCCACCTGGGTTTAGAGGACATCGGATCAATCCTCCAGCACTCCTTGTACTGGATGATCCACATGGGTTTAGAGGATGGAGGATCAAGCCTCCATAACTGCTTGTACTGAACAACTGTTGCGAATAAGAAATTTTATAAAGAACTTCAGAACGTGGTCTGTTACTATTTTCTTCCTAGGCAACAAGATTTTGGATCAGAGTTAGTTAAAGGTATTTTAGAGTCTAGGGGAAATAATTTCAACTGGGAAACTCCATAGAATAATATTCAAATTTATTAAAGTATTTAAATATAATACTTTATCTTCTCTGTACCTAATATTATGTCTTAATGCTTTGTACAATAAATTTACAATACAGTGGGCCCCCGCATAACGATTACCTCCGAATGCGACCAATTATGTAAGTGTATTTATGTAAGTGCGTTTGTATGTGTATGTTTGGGGGTCTGAAATGGACTAATCTACTTCACAATATTCCTTATGGGAACAAATTCAGTCAGTACTGGCACCTGAACATACTTCTGGAGTGAAAAATATCATTAACCGGGGGTCCACTGTATACATTTAGTTCAAAATCGTGGAAATATCACATTAATAGGGAAGATTAATTTTTCTTCCTGTAATTAAGTCTTCACTAACATTTACATCTTTGTCTTAACAAGACTGTAAACTCAAACTACAAAATGTACAAGATTCAACAAGACCTTTGAATCCGGCCGTAAAGGAGGTAGAAAGCAAGAGTTTGTCTGAGAAGATGTATCTCTATGGATTACTGAACTGACCAAGAATATAAATATCAAAACAATCTTTCAGAGTAATGAGGAACAAACTGAGTCAGCTCTAGAGTCTAATTCTCAAACCCATTTAAACTGTACACCCTAAGAGAGCCAATATACGATCAGTTGTCAAGGCTAGAACAGGGAGCGGACTGACTACCTGCCAGTCTGTTGACATGTCGTCAGGTTGGATCAGCTGACCCAAACATCAGTCAGCCGGACATAAACAATTGAACAATTCACCGGATGGTTCCGAGACTTATGCTCTATATACATAAGAAACCCTACCTAACAATAATAATAATAATAATAATAATAATAATAATAATAATAATAATAATAAAATAGGGACAATACCATGGTTTTTTTATATTTTAACAGATAATAATATAACGCCGAAAGTCTCTATTCTAGGTATAAACGGGGACTTTCGTGCTATAATATTAAGTGATGATCATATTCTCTTACAATAGTTAAATAACACAGGATGACCAATTTCCAAGATATAACAACAACCCACTTGGGTTTGCTGCATCACATAAATAAATTAAATGTGTGTAAGCAGTTCAAAATCTTTTCACATTTAACTTTACATTACCAGTATCTGCTAAATAATATTTAAGATAATGATGATCATCAAATATTATTTAGGATAATGATGATTTATTACCCACAGGAATAATGAATCACGATGAGTATTCATTAGTATACGAAATTGAGCAAGAGGACATTGAAAATAAACCAAACTTCGGAACACTGACACTGAAGAAGAAGAAAGACGGAGACAAGGAACGTGACGCAAAGATGGAGCAACTTAAGAAGAAGTTACGCACCGATGATGAGAGTAAGTTGTGTGTCAAGGTCACACTTGCTGTCTAGGGTCACAGTTGTCAAGGGATCACAGCTGTTGTCCAGGGTCACAGATGTTATCCAGGATCACAGCTGTTGTCCAGGGTCACAGTTGTTGTCATGGGTGTCAAGAATCACAGTTGTCACCACAGGTGTGTCAAGGGTCACAGTTGTTGCCACAGATGTGTCAAGGGTTGCAATGGCTGCTGCTGATACCACCAGCAGAAGTGCTGCTGGTAAAAATCATCCTTTTGTAAGCTTTGTGGCTGAATGGTAGTATTGTTGTGCCTGCCAGTGATGTAAATCTATATCAGTGGTAGTCATATAGATTTATGTCAGTGTCATCAGTCACATAGATATTTGTGACTTAAGAAATCGTAATGACACGGCAGTGAAGGGACTTGAGCTAGAGTTCGTCACGGCCACGCTAGCTGGAGATTCGTCTGTAAAAACTTGCATTTGTGGTCACAGAGGTGCCTGTGCTAACCTTCCTATGGTGTAGAAATATACCTAGTTGGATGAATCTTATTGTGGCTATCTGGTCTAGTGGCTAACGCGACGGGCTGGAGTTTTGAGACCGCGGGTTCAATCCCGGCCGGGGGTATGGTTTACATAGATCTTTAATAGCACTTTCATGTTTGGTGCGAGAGGTAAATCTTGGCTTGGATTTGATTATTATTACAGTGACGGGGAACCATTAAACTCCAAGGGATCATACTGTGCCTGTGGAATGGGTTTCAGTCACATTTAATCCCAGGAAGGATAGGCATATATTGTCCATCACGTTGAACTATCAGGGTCATGTTGAACTATCAGGGTCATGTTGAACTATCAGGGTCATGTTGAACTATCAGGGTCATGTTGAACTATCAGGGTCATGTTGAACTATCAGGGTCATGTTGAACTATCAGGGTCATGTTGAACTATCAGGGTCATGCTGAACTATCAGGGTCATGTTGAACTATCAGGGTCATGTTGAACTATCAGGGTCATGTTGAACTATCAGGGTCATGTTGAACTATCAGGGTCATGTTGAACTATCAGGGTCATGTTGAACTATCAGGGTCATGTTGAACTATCAGGGTCATGTTGAACTATCAGGGTCACGTTGAACTATCAGGGTCATGTTGAACTATCAGGATCACGTTGAACTATCAGGGTCATGTTGAACTATCAGGGTCACGTTGAACTATCAGGGTCACGTTGAACTATCAGGGTCATGTTGAACTATCAGGGTCACGTTGAACTATCAGGGTCACGTTGAACTATCAGGGTCACGTTGAACTATCAGGGTCATGTTGAACTATCAGGGTCATGTTGAACTATCAGGGTCATGTTGAACTATCAGGGTCACGTTGAACTATCAGGGTCATGTTGAACTATCAGGGTCCACGTTGAACTATCAGGGTCATGTTGAACTATCAGGGTCATGTTGAACTATCAGGGTCACGTTGAAGTATCAGGGTCATGTTGAACTATCAGGGTCATGTTGAACTATCAGGGTCACGTTGAACTATCAGGGTCATGTTGAACTATCAGGGTCATGTTGAACTATCAGGGTCACGTTGAAGTATCAGGGTCATGTTGAAACTATCAGGGTCATGTTGAACTATCAGGGTCACATTGAACTATCAGGGTCATGTTGAACTATCAGGGTCATGTTGAACTATCAGGGTCATGTTGAACTATCAGGGTCATGTTGAACTATCAGGGTCACGTTGAACTATCAGGGTCATGTTGAACTATCAGGGTCACGTTGAACTATCAGGGTCACGTTGAACTATCAGGGTCATGTTGAACTATCAGGGTCACGTTGAACTATCAGGGTCATGTTGAACTATCAGGGTCATGTTGAACTATCAGGGTCACGTTGAAGTATCAGGGTCATGTTGAACTATCAGGGTCACGTTGAACTATCAGGGTCATGTTGAACTATCAGGGTCACGTTGAACTATCAGGGTCACGTTGAACTATCAGGGTCACGTTGAACTATCAGGGTCACGTTGAATATCAGGGTCACGTTGAACTATCAGGGTCACGTTGAACTATCAGGGTCACGTTGAACTATCAGGGACACGTTGAACTATCAGGGTCACGTTGAACTATCAGGGTCACGTTGAACTATCAGGGTCACGTTGAACTATCAGGGACACGTTGAACTATCAGGGTCACGTTGAACTATCAGGGTCATGTTGAACTATCAGGGTCACGTTGAACTATCAGGGTCACGTTGAACTATCAGGGTCATGTTGAACTATCAGGGTCATGTTGAACTATCAGGGTCACGTTGAAGTATCAGGGTCATGTTGAACTATCAGGGTCACGTTGAACTATCAGGGACACGTTGAACTATCAGGGTCACGTTGAACTATCAGGGTCACGTTGAACTATCAGGGTCATGTTGAACTATCAGGGTCATGTTGAACTATCAGGGTCACGTTGAACTATCAGGGTCACGTTGAACTATCAGGGTCATGTTGAACTATCAGGTCACGTTGAACTATCAGGGTCATGTTGAACTATCAGGGTCATGTTGAACTATCAGGGTCACGTTGAAGTATCAGGGTCATGTTGAACTATCAGGGTCACGTTGAACTATCAGGGTCATGTTGAACTATCAGGGTCACGTTGAACTATCAGGGTCACGTTGAACTATCAGGGTCACGTTGAACTATCAGGGTCACGTTGAACTATCAGGGTCACGTTGAACTATCAGGGTCACGTTGAACTATCAGGGTCACGTTGAACTATCAGGGACACGTTGAACTATCAGGGTCACGTTGAACTATCAGGGTCATGTTGAACTATCAGGGTCACGTTGAACTATCAGGGTCATGTTGAACTATCAGGGTCATGTTGAACTATCAGGGTCACGTTGAACTATCAGGGTCACGTTGAACTATCAGGGACACGTTGAACTATCAGGGTCACGTTGAACTATCAGGGTCATGTTGAACTATCAGGGTCACGTTGAACTATCAGGGTCATGTTGAACTATCAGGGTCACGTTGAACTATCAGGGTCACGTTGAACTATCAGGGACACGTTGAACTATCAGGGTCATGTTGAACTATCAGGGTCACGTTGAACTATCAGGGTCACGTTGAACTATCAGGGTCACGTTGAACTATCAGGGACACGTTGAACTATCAGGGACACGTTGAACTATCAGGGTCACGTTGAACTATCAGGGACACGTTGAACTATCAGGGACACGTTGAACTATCAGGGTCACGTTGAACTATCAGGGACACATTGAACTATCAGGGTCACGTTGAACTATCAGGGACCATCATGCAACTCTGCGTCATAAACTCGACTCAGTTAAGCTGTGAGTGGTAAATTTTGGTCTATATATGAGAGAAACGTAATGTGAAAAATGATATAAAGTACCGACTAAGGTGATGACTAAGTCATCCATGAAACAGTTAGTTATCTTTATTGATGAAAAAACCATACCCCCAGCCGGGATAGAACCCGCGGTCATAGAGTCTCAAAACTCCAGCCCGTCGCTTTAGCCACTAGACCAGCTAGCCACAATAAGATTCATCCAACTAGGTATATTTCTACACCATAGGAAGGTTAGCACAGGCACCTCTGTGACCACAAATGCAAGTTTTTACAGACGAATCTCCAGCTAGCGTGGCCGTGACGAACTCTAGCTCAAGTCCCTTCACTGCCGTCAACATGACTTAAGAAATCGTAATGACACATTTTGCCTACACAGTAGGTTTCTTCAGTCAAATACAGCAGCAGCAGGTGTAGTATTAGTGAAATGAAGATGATGTAATCAGTGAATCAACCTTGGAGAGAAAGTATTTGAGGGGGTCAGTCCCTCAGCCTGGAGAAGAGTTCATTTCCATGGGGGTCAGTCCCTGAGCCTTGTGAAGAGTTCATTTCCATGGGGGTCAGTCCCTGAGCCTGGAGAAGAGTTCATTTCCATGGGGGGTCAGTCCCTGAGCCTGGAGAAGAGTTCATTTCCATGGGGGTCAGTCCCTGAGCCTAGAGAAGAGTTCATTTCCATGGGGATCAGTCCCTGAGCCTAGAGAAGAGTTCATTTCCATGGGGGTCAGTCCCTGAGCCTAGAGAAGAGTTCATTTCCATGGGGGGTCAGTCCCTGAGCCTGGGGAAGAGTTCATTTCCATGGGGGTCAGTCCCTGAGCCTGGAGAAGAGTTCATTTCCATGGGGGTCAGTCCTTGAGCCTGGAGAAGAGTTCATTTCCATGGGGGTCAGTCCCTGAGCCTGGAGAAGGTTCATTTCCATGGGGTCAGTCCCTGAGCCTGGAGAAGAGTTCATTTCCATGGGGTCAGTCCCTGACCTGGAGAAGAGTTCATTTCCATGGGGGTCAGTCCCTGAGCCTGGAGAAGAGTTCATTTCCATGGGGGGTCAGTCCCTGAGCCTGGAGAAGAGTTCATTTCCATGGGGGTCAGTCCCTGAACCTGGAGAAGAGTTCATTTCCATGGGGGTCAGTCCCTGAGCTGGAGAAGAGTTCATTTCCATGGGGTCAGTCCCTGAGCCTGGAGAAGAGTTCATTTCCATGGGGGTCAGTCCCTGAGCCTGGAGAAGAGTTCATTTCCATGGGGGTCAGTCTGAGCCTGGAGAAGAGTTCATTTCCATGGGGGTCAGTCCCTGAGCCTGGAGAAGAGTTCATTTCCATGGGGGTCAGTCCCTGAGCCTGGAGAAGAGTTCATTTCCATGGGGGTCAGTCCCTGAGCCTGGAGAAGAGTTCATTTCCATGGGGGTCAGTCCCTGAGCCTGGGAAGAGTTTCATTTCCATGGGGGACTGTCCCTGAGCTGGAGAAAGTTCATTTCATGGAGAACAGTCCCTGGCTGGAGAAATGCTTCATTTCCATGGGACGTCCCTGAGCCTGGAGAATAGTCATTTCCATGGGGGACAGTACTGAGCCTGGAGAAGAGTTTTTCACACTGTAGTCTGCATGGTGAGTGGCCATATTATATAAAATCTTGCCTCATGTGGTGTTCGATGAAAAGGACATAACAAATTCTCATTTATTGTTTGGTTTAAAAATGCAATTTTTGAGGTGGTTTTCTAGGCTGGTATTTTATACGTGAATTTTATCTGTTGCATTGTTATTGTGATAAATAGAAGACTTGCTGCTCAAATAGTGATGGGTTTTGTTGGCTCCGGTTGAAAGTTGCTTGAAATTGGCCTCAAAGTTATTAGAAATTTTGGGGTCTAACAATTTGAGGGTTAAATCACAGATGAAAATAAGTTTGTTGCCATGGATGAATTAATCATGTATTCACAACACATGTAGTTAAAAAATTTGATACATTTTTGGGGGAAAGTTATAGTTTAGTACTGGAAAATGTTATGTTATGGATGTTGGAATTGTTTTTTATTAATTCATTTTGTTTTGTCTGAGTTAACTGGTCGACCACAGCAGACCTTGAGAGAGCAGGCATTGATGAGCTGATAATATTACTGCTGCGAGAAAATATTTCTTCTCGGATCAAAACATCGATTCCAGAGATCCGGTTCAGTTGGGTCTGCTGTATGTTCAGGTTAGTGAACAATAACACTGATATACATAACTGTTTTATATAACCAACAATAACACTGATATACATAACTGGTTCATACAACCAACAGGTTGATGAATCAGTTACTTGTGTAACTCTTGGCTATCTTTATTGTGGAGAGGTTTTGCCAACCAGTGCCTTCATCAGTCCAGTACAGAGGAAAATGTTTGAAGATAAAAAGGAGTCTGAGGTAATCAGTCCCTCAGTCTGGAGTCTGATGTAATCAGTCCCTCAGTCTGGAGTCTGATGTAATCAGTCCCTCAGTCTGGAGTCTGATGTAATCAGTCCCTCAGTCTGGAGTCTGATGTAATCAGTCCCTCAGTCTGGAGTCTGATGTAATCAGTCCCTCATCCTGGAGTCAATGTGATCAGCCCACCAGTCTTGATGGACTGATGGGGTAATCAGTCCCAGGCTGAGGGATTGATTACCTCAAACTACTACTAATCTTCCACCATTCTTCTCTGTATTGGACTGAGGAAGCCACTGGTTGGCAAAACCTCTCCACAGTAAACATACCCAAGTGTTGCACAAGTGTCTAACTCATCAATAACAGTGCAATACTTCACTTACTTCTGCTCTCTGGTAAAGTTAACCTAGAATACTTAAGATTATATTATTTTTTTTTTCAATAAGTCGGCCGCGTCCCACCAAGGCAGGGTGACCCACCAAGGCAGGGTGACCCACCAAGGCAGGGTGACCCACCGAGGCAGGGTGACCCACCGAGGCAGGGTCACCCACCAAGGCAGGGTGACCCACCGAGGCAGGGTGACCCACCGAGGCAGGGTGACCCACCGAGGCAGGGTGACCCACCGAGGCAGAGTGACCCACCGAGGCAGGGTGACCCAGAAAGAAAGAAAATCCCCCAAAAGAAAATACTTTCATCATTCAACACTGTCACTTCACTCAGACATAATCACTGTTTTTGCAGATGTACCCAGATACAACAGTTTAGAAGCACGTATTTATTTATTAATGAATAATTTTTTATGTGCGTCTGATGAATGTAGAGTAAGTGAAATAAGAAAAGCAAATGGACTCCAATTACTGAATTTTTTTTTGTTGTATCTGGTATTTAGTAAATGTGAATTCAGAAAGAGTGCTTGGCATTATAGTGGACCTCCGGTTAACGATATTATTTCATTCCAGAAGTATGTTCAGGTGCCAGTACTGACCGAATTTGTTCCCATAAGGAATATTGTGAAGTAGATTAGTCCATTTCAGACCCCCAAACATACACGTACAAACACACTTACATAAATACACTTACATAATTGCTCGCATTGGGAGCTGATCGTGAACCGGGGGTCCACTGTAGTTGTCCCACTTTCACACACTTGTATCTTTCTTTCTTTCAACACACTGGCCATATCCCACCGAGGCAGGGTGCCCCAAAAGGAAAAACGAAAGCTTCTCCTTTTACATTTAGTAATATGTACAGGAGAAGGGGTTACTAGCCCCTTGCTCCCGGCATTTTAGTTGCCTCTTACAACACACATGGCTTACTGCGGAAGAATTTTGTTCCACTTCCCCATGGAGAGAACAGGAAACAAAAAAGAACAAGAACTAGTAAGAAAATAGAAGAAAACCCAGAGGGGTGTGTATATATATATATGCTTGTACATGTATGTGTAGTGTGACCTACGTGTAAGTAGAAGTAGCAAGACGTACCTGATATCTTGCATGTTTATGAGACAGAAAAATGGACACCAGCAATCCTACCATCATGTAAAACAATTACAGGCTTTCGTTTTACACTCACTTGGCAGGACGGTAGTACCTCCCTGGGTGGTTGTTGTCTACCAACCTACTACCTAGGGCTTGTATATGCTAGTAAAATTAACTAAACAGTGACACTGGGGAAGCAAATTTAACTTAAAAAGTGCGTCCAAAATTTTATAACATATGCAAAGTCTTTTTCACATACTAATCAATTTTGGATGCACTTTTTTCAATTCTGTTTACAAAAAATTGCATTGTATACTTGAGTTTATATGAGAGTCAACTGTAGTCATTCGAAAAGTAGATACTGTGACAGGGCTTAATCACCACACTCAGTCGAAAGTTAACCCTTTGACTGTCGCAACCCCCAATCCTGAGGTGTCTCCTGGTGTCGCAAAATTAAAAAAAAAAAAAATAATTTTTTCTTATGAAATAATAGAGAATCTTTTCCTGATTGTAATGACACCAAAAAAACGAAATTTGATGGAAAACTGACGGAATTATGCTCTCGCAAAGTTAGCGACCTCGGCGCTGTTTACAAATCGGCGATTTCGCCCACTTTGAGCCCTATTTTCGGCTAATTCCATTGTTCCAGTCGCCCAAACTCATAGTTATTTCTTTAGAACTCCATTTTTTCTATCGATTGAGTACAAGAAACTGCCCATTTACTGATTTCAATACCTAATAATGTGGTCAGAGATTTGCAATTTGGCCAATTTCACGAAAAAAAAAAAAATATGACAATTTCAAAATAAGGTCCAGAATGAACAATGCAGACATTCCTGCTCTAAAATAACATTTTCTTTGTTCATCAGTCATGTCTCCGGGCCCCCTCTGATATTACTCTTGCTTTCTATTTTGATTTTTATTCAAACAAAAAATAGAAGACTTACTATTATGCAGACTACTGCAATACTGTAATAATTGTATAAATAACATCAACCCATTCATGACTGCATATTAGAATGGCTAGTTGGACATTTATTGGACAATGACATCATTTGTTTACTTTTGAACATTGGCAAAAATCAAACATTCCCCTACTTTGAGCTTCATTTCAAGGTTCTTTTATAGTAAATCAATCAAAATCCCCTCTATTTCTATAATTGTTTTCCATTCTATCAAATGAGACCAAGAAAACGAAAATACAACCATAAATACTATACGAAAATAGACCACAAAGTAGGCATTTTAATTAAAAAAAACGGTCGGAGTTTTTTTTTTTTCTCATTTGCACTGCGTGCTCCAGGATTTTTTTTATAGGGCGCACACTGACCACACAGACCCATTCTCTCACATGTGGGCCTCCCAGCTTTCTCCTGCTTGATTTGAAGCCGCTAGAATTTATGAGTTATATACGTTCAAACACGGTCCCTCATAAGCGTATATATAGGGGCCGCGACAGTCAAAGGGGTTAAAAGGCACAACTAAGATCAACAAGACTAAATATCTACTGTAATCACATTAAAATAATAAAGATAGTCCTCTGCTTACGATGGTGTTATGTTCCGACAAACCACCATAAGTCAAAAATATTGTAAATCGAATATGAATATGCTATGCTAAATAAACAGTGAATAAATAAATTTCTATCACTGAATTAAAAAAAATAATTAATATATCTGACTAAAAAACCAGTATTGAAAAGTAAATAAATGAAAATAAATTACAGTTCGATTAGAGGACTTGAGTCCTGGAGGTGGGAAAGTACAATGGCAGCACTTTAAAGGAGGGGTTTGGATATTGGCAGTTTGGAGGGACGTCTAAATTATTGCATCTGAGCGGCCTCTGCAAAGACAGTGTTTGTGTATGGGGTAAAAAGGTTTAAAGTATTTTCTTTCTTTTGGATTTTTTTCTTTTTTCATTTTAGGTCACCCTGCCTCGGGTTTGGAAACGGCCGACGTGTTAAGAAAAAAAAACTGCAGACTTCCCATCTTCATACTGGGTAGTTATCATGAAATCAAAATATCATAAGCTTAACCAGAATAAGTTGAGGAGCACCTGTTTTGAGAATTGCATATAATTATAATTTTACAAGAGTTTGTTAATGTAATATTTCCCAACAGTGCCGGGACGCCATCATTGACGGAACTCATCCGGTGACATTAGAACGTGCTTGTAGGTTTGCTGGCATCCAGTGTCAGATACAATTTGGTGATCACGTTGAAGCTAAGCATAAGGCTGGCTTCCTCGAGTAAGTTATATTTCATGTGCTTATGTATGAAGTGTTGTGCAGCACAAAAGAACAAGTGAGAAGTTCAAACAGTGGAAAAAAATGTAGGGGTAGATCAGGGCTAAGAAGTTCAAGTTATAATACTCTATTATGGGACAGAGTCAGACTCCCAAATGCAGAAGACAGTGTTTACACATTGCCTCAAACATGGCCTTTGTTGTACTTAGTCTTCCCTGATGCACAATGCTCATATACAAAGGACGATCAAATTTGGTGACATTTTCGTAGAGGACAGTAAGCTGACAATCATATGACTATTGTACACTTTTTTTTCAGTAATCCTCAGGAAAATTATTGCATTCCTCAATCTAAATCTAAGGTTATCATTGTATGAAAAACACTGGTTGGCATATTGATGATTGTCTCAGAAAGATCATAAATAACCTCAATGTTGACGATGAATCGTATGAAAACATTGTCATACTGGACCATTGTCAAGTTCTGGTTATTTGTGAATTTGACTCATGAAATTATAATGACACGATTGCAAACAAACCATACCATAGGGGGGTTAGAACCCGTGATCAGAGAGTCACAAAACTCCAGACTGCTGGTCCAGTGGCAATGCGACAGTCTAGAGTTTGTGTTAACTTTGATTGTGGTTCAAAACCCTCGGTTGGTTGGGTTTACTTGTGGATTGTTTCAACCCGTATTGTGATTTCAAATTTTTTAATTTCTGGTGAAATCGTGTGTTTCCAAAAGTCAAGATTTGTAGCTAGTTTTTATTCAATCTCTAGATTTTATACACGACTCACACTTAGGAGAATGAGACTTATGACATTTCGGTCAGACGCGGAACATTAACCCGTTTAGGGTTGGAACCCCTGATCTGAAACTTGCTCTCAGGGTCCGAGAATTTAAAAAAAAAAAGTATTTTTCTTATGAAATGATAGAGAATCTTTTTCCGAAGGTAATGAAACTACAAGTATGAAATTTGATGGACAACATACAAAAATACGCTCTCACAAAGTTAGTGGTCTCGGTGATGTGTACTCACCAGCCATTTCACCCACTTTGAGCCCTGTTTTTGGCCATTTCAATTGTTCTTATGTTCTAGTTTACCAAACTCATAGCTATTTTGCTAGTATTTCTTCTATTCTAACAATTGAGTACAAGAAACTGCTCATTTACCTATTTCAACTACCCAATAAAGTGATCAGAAATTAGCAATTTGACCAGTTTCCCAAAATTTACCAATTTAAAAATATGGTCCAGAATAAACAATGTAGACATCCCTGGCACACAAAAAAAACAATTCTTCTGTTTATTAGTAATGTCAACAGTCCTATATTATGCTTACTTGCCATTTTGAATTTTTATTCATTTTTTACTGTTGTGCAGACTACTGCATTATTGTAATAATTGTGCATTATTACAATAATGCAGATTCCAAAATAATAATAAGGGATTCCTCAATATTTTTTTAAATTTTTTCAGCCTCAAAGAATTCCTGCCTCAGAGTTATGTTAGAACGAAGGGTATTGAGAAGAAGATTTTCCACGAGCACAAACTCCATGCTGGTCTCAATGAGCTGGATGCTAAGGTGGGTTGTAAGACTTGTTTGGCTTCTGTTTTGATTCTCTCATTAGTTCATCCTTTTAAGAACTTAGCAGGACCATTAAAACATTCATGGTAAATCTGCTTTGCTTATCTCATTAGTTCTTACTTTTATAAGCTTACCAGGTCCATTAAAATATTTATAGTAAAGAATAAAGTCACAATACCGTGACCGGAACAATACACAAATAACCTGCACATTGGAGAAACAAACGTATGGTGACTTTTCAGTCCAACTCAGACCATTTACATGCCACAAGTTGGACCAAAACATTGTCATAAATTTCTTCTATGTTCAGGTTATTTGTGTATTCATAATAAAAAATAAATAGCATTTTATTATCGACTCAAGAAATTGCAGTGACACGATTGCAAATAATCCATGGAACGAGTGGGGTTTAAACCCATGGTGAGAGAGTCGTAAAACACCAGTTTTACAACTCACTTTTCATGGGGTCATCAAACCCCACTTGTTCGAGGTTAATATTTTATGTGGTTTCTACATGTATAAACCTAAAGAACTCCTCCACACAGAAACACAAATACAAGTTTAAAAAAAATTAAATTTGCCTAACCTTGCCTACCTGACCTTGACTCATAATGGTGGAAAAATACACACAAATACAGTATAATGTGTTCCTTTATTGACAATGTTTCGCCTACGCAGTGGACTTTATCAAGTCACAAACGGATCTACTTTAACCCTTAAACTGTCCAAACGTAGATCTACGTTCACGTGCGTAGCGCTCTGACTTTGATTTTCCCTATTTGAAAGCACGTAAAAAAAGTAGATCTACGTTCGGTGCCCCCCGCACATGGACGTAGATCTACGTTTGGACAGTTTAAGGGTTAAGCTTCAGGTCAAGTTGTAAATTTAGCTAAATATGTTGGAAGTACAACAAAAATGTAGGGATTGAATAGTGATTTATAGAATTTTTTTAATTACAAAAAAAGAAATATATAAAAAAGAACACACACATATACAGTGGAACCTCTACTTGCGAGCATGTCCACGTGTGAGTTTTCCAAATACGAGCAGTCGATGGGTCAATTTTTTGCTTCCATATGCGAGCAAAATTTCCACAAGCGAGCAGACCTCAAGGCAGGTTCCTTGACACTGGTGAGGGGCTCTTGCTCTTGATCTCTGGAATTGTATCTCATTTGTTTGTTGGACTATCTTATTGAAACTTGGGCAATGTATGATGGAAAGATGCTTCTTAACGTACACCAAAAATGAAAGAAATCTAAGCACAAATAATGGAGTTCACTTCTCAGCAATTAGCCACCCCTTAGTGGTAATTTTGAATGGTTTTTATGGTTGTATTCTCGTTTTTTGGTCTCATTTGACAGAATGGAAGATATATTACAGAAATAGATATGATTTTAATTGCTTTCATGACGAAAAGTACTTTGAAATAGAGCTCAACCTAGGAGAATTGGTCCATTGCTTGACTGTTTCAGAGTAAACACATGATGTCACTGTCCATTCCAATATGCAGTCGTGAATGGGTTGACATATTTATACAATTATTGCAATAAGGAATAACAGTAAATCTTATATTTTTTGTGTGAATAAAAATTACAAATAATCTATATAATAATAATAATAATAATAATAATGATAATAATAATAATAATAATAATATGTAGAATAATAATATGAATAATAACAATATGTGTAATAATAATAATAATAATAATAATATAATAATAATAATAATAATAATAATAATAGTATAATACAATAATAATAATAATAATAATAATATAATATGTATAATAATAAAACATATATAATAATAATGCACTACATATAATAATTATAATAATAGACGGCTTCAAAAGGCCGTCACTAGATGGCAGTGTTTACCACAACAAAGAGGGAACGGTTGTGGCCGCCTCCACCTGTTACATAATGACATATTTTATTCATTCTAGGATATATATCGTGTTTCTATGTTATTTATATTGTCTGTTATGTCATATTAGATGAACTGTGATATATAAATAAGCCGTATAGATGATATTAGCGAAATTATTCATGAAGTATTTTCATTGGTCTCCAGACAAACTCTCGTCCACCACCGACACCGCCCATACCACTACATGAATGACATATTTTATTCATTCTAGAGTATATATCAGGTTTCTGTGTTATTCATACTGTTTGTTATGTCATACTAGATGAACTGTGATAGATAAATAAGCCGTATAAATGATATTAGCGAAATTATTTATGAAGTATTTTGCCCAGTGTCCAGACAAACTCTCGCCCACCGCCGACACCCCCTATACCACTACATGAATGACATACAGTAGACCCCTGACATTCGATATTAATCCATTCCTGAGAGCTCATCGAATGTCGAAAATATCGAAAGTCGAATTAATTTTCCGCATAAGAAATAATGGAAATCAAATTAATCCGTGCAAGATACCCAAAAGTATGAAAAAAAAAATTTTACCACATGAAATATTAAGTTTAATGCAATAGAATAATTACAATAACAACAATAACAATAGATTAATAACAATAGAATAATTGACACTTACCCTTTTAAAGAAGATCTGGTGATGATTGATGGATGGGAGGGGGAGGGAGAGTGTGGATGGTGTTATGTTTAGAAGGGGAATCCCTTCCATTAGGACTTGAGGTAGCAAGTCCTTTTCCAGGGTTTCTTCCTTCTTCTTTTAATGCCACTAGGACCAGCTTTAGAGTCATGGACTTCTGTTGCACAACATATCTGTCCATAGAGCTCTGTACCTCCCGTTCCTTTAAGATTTGTCTAAAATGGGCCACAACATTGTCAGTGTAATAGTCACCAGCACGGCTTGCAATAGCTGTGTTAGGGTGATTTATCATCCATAAAGGTTTGCAGTTCAACCCACTTTGCACACATTTCCTTAATTTTTGAAGTAGGCACAATGGATTCCACAACTGGCATAGGCTTCTCAGGGTTAGCCCCAAACCCTTCAAAATCTTTCTTAATTTCCATACTAATTCTCACCCTTTTTACCACAGGGTTGGCACTATAAGCTTTCTTGGGGCCCATGGTGACTTATTTTGCAGAAACAAGCACCAAAATTAGTGATAATATGGATAATATGGAATGTACTGAATGTATCCTTAGATGTGCGCACACTGGCTGGCTTGTAAACACTGGCACACACGGGGCAGTTCAGGCCACATGGACACATCTCGTACTACTCTTATCGAATAGCGGGTTTTCGATCGAATGTCGAGGCGAAATTTTTGCGTTAAAGTGCATCGAATGTCGGATTTATCGAATGTCGATGCCAGCGAATGCGGGGGTCCACTGTATTTTATTCATTTTAAAGTATATATCAGGTTTCTATGTTATTTATATTGTTTATTATGTCATATTAGATGAAGTGAGATAGATAAATAAGGTGTAGAGTTGATACTAGCAAAATTATTGAAGTACAGAATTCCACTGGAACGGATTAATTGCATTTCAATTAATTTAAATGAGGAAAATTGACTCTGCAAACGAGCAAATCCAGTTGCGAGCAAGGTCATGGAACGGATTAAACTCGCAAGTAGAGGTTCCACTGTATATATATTCTTCTTTCTTTTTTCAACAAACCGGCCATATCCCACCAAGGCAGGGTGGCCCAAAAAGAAAAACAAAAGTTTCTCTTTTTAAATTTAGTAATTTATACTTGTATGTTTATGAGACAGAAAAATGGACACCAGCAATCCTACCATCATGTAAAACAATTACAGGCTTTCGTTTTACACTCACTTGGCAGGACGGTAGTACCTCCCTGGGTGGTTACTGATACTACCGTCCTGCCAGGTGAGTGTAAAACGAAAGCCTCTAATTGTTTTACATGATGGTAGGATTGCTGGTGTCCATTTTTCTGTCTCATAAACATGCAAGATTTCAGGTACGTCTTGCTACTTCTACTTACACTTAGGTCACACTACACATACATGTGCAAGCATATACATATATACATACCCCTCTGGGTTTTCTTCTATTTTCTTTCTAGTTCTTGTTCTTGTTTATTTCCTCTTATCTCCATGGGGAAGTGGAACAGAATTCTTCCTCTGTAAGCCATGCGTGTTGTAAGAGGCGACTAAAATGCCGGGAGCAAGGGGCTAGTAACCTCTTCTCCTGTATATGTTACTAAATGTAAAAGGAGAAACTTTCGTTTTTCCTTTTGGGCCACCCCGCCTCGGTGGGATACGGCCAGTGTGTTGAAAAAAAGGAAGAATATATATGTGTATGTATGGATGATATGTTATTAAAGGATCGCATTATTCTGTGTTTAGGTCTGTTTTTCCATTGTGTGGGTATTTTATACCCACACAATGCACGTGTTAGTTAGGAGTGAATGGAGATGAATGGTATTTGGGACCTGACGAGCTGTTGGAGTGTGAGCAGGGTGATATTTAGTGAAGGGATTCAGGGAAACCGGTTATTTTTATATAGCCGGACTTGAGTCCTGGAAATGGGAAGTACAATGCCTGCACTTTAAAGGAGGGGTTTGGGATATTGGCAGTTTGGTGGGATATGTTGTGTATCTTTATACGTATATACTTCTAAACTGTTGTTTTCTGAGCACCTCTACAAAAACAGTGATTATGTATGAGTGAGGTGAAAGTGTTGAATGATGAAAGTATTTTTTGGGGGGGATTTTCTTTCTTTTTGGGTCACCCTGCCTCGGTGGGAGACGGCCGACTTGTTAAAAAAAAAAATGGAAAAACTAATGGTGTTGAAGGGACATTAGCTAGAGCCACAGTCACGCTGGTGTGAGATTTGTCTATGGAAACCTACATGAGTGGTCACAGTGGTGGCCCATGCTAACCTTCCTAGTGTGTAGAGAAATGTGCCTAGTTAAACTAGATAAATTTCTTAGTAGAGATAACATTTTCTAACATTCTATGAGAATGTTTTTCTAACATTCTATCAGATAATATTTTTCTAACATTCTGTCACTTAATCTTCTTATTTTTGTCCTCACCACTGAGCACATGTTAAAATTCCAATTCCAATACTTTTTTCTTGTCTGTACTATACAGATAATGTAGTTTTCATGGAATTAAATATTGTTAGTCACAGTGGACAGCCACAAACATATTGTGAATATCAGACAAAGTTATTGCCGTTCTTTAAGCTAACTTCATTAACCTTCCTTAATCTCGTTCTTCTTCTCTTTACTGCAAACTCTTTTCCACTCACTAATGCTAACATGTTCCACTTTGCTTCACTTATTTTTGTGCCTTTTTTTTTTTTTACATGCTGGCTGTCTCCCACCAAGGCAAGGCGATCCAAAAAAGAAACACTTTCATCATCATTTATACTATCACTGTCTTGTCAGAGGTGTCCAGATACAACAGCTTGGATGTCCCTCTAAACAGCAAATATCTCAGATTCCTCCTTCAGAGTACAGACACCATATTTCCCACATCCAGGACTCAAGTCTGGCTAACCAGTTACCCTGAATCCCTTCACAAAATATTACCCTGCTTACACTACAACAGCTCATCAAGTCCCAAAAACCATTCGTCTCCATTCACTCCTTTCTAACACACTCACAAATTAATTTTTAGTTTTTCATTTTCATCCCTAAGATTCAGAAGTTCTCCTCTTACCTGTTTCAGCTCTGTCTCCAGCACAGCCGTGCTCTTTGATATTCTTTTGTTTTTATGAGACTGCTCTTATTGCTTCCAGGTGCCGTAAGTACAGGTGGGCCTCACTTGTACAGCAGGTTAGGTTCTGGGCTACTGTAGGGCCTCACTTATACAGCTGGTTAGGTTCTGGGCTACTGTAGGGCCTCACTTATACAGCTGGTTAGGTTCTGGGCTACTGTAGGGCCTCACTTATACAGCTGGTTAGGTTCTGGGCTACTGTAGGGCCTCACTTATACAGCAGGTTAGGTTCTGGGCTACTGTAGGCCTCACTTATACATCAGGTTAGGTTCTGGGCTACTGTAGGGCCTCACTTATACAGCAGGTTAGGTTCTGGGCTACTGTAGGGCCTCACTTATACATCAGGTTAGGTTCTGGGCTACTGTAGGGCCTCACTTATACATCAGGTTAGGTTCTGGGCTACTGTAGGGCCTCACTTATACAGCAGGTTAGGTTCTGGGCTACTGTAGGACCTCACTTATACATCAGGTTAGGTTCTGGGCTACTGTAGGGCCTCACTTATACAGCAGGTTAGGTTCTGGGCTACTGCTGTAAAGTGAAAATCACTGTAAAGTGAAGCATAGCCTTTTTTCACTTACAAATTAATATAAAAGCCTGATAAGACATTTGCACTATCATATATTAAGTGAGCAATATAGCTAGGTCTAAAAAATTAATATACAGTACACACATTACTTACCTTGAAATATTTTTATCCTTAACTTATAGTGAGTTGTGAATGTATTTACCATAGGAAGTCTGAATAAATGAAGAATGGGTATAAATGAAAACTGCTGTATTAGCAAAATGCTGTGAAGAGCTGTAAAGTGAAGCACTGTGAAGCGGGGCTCACCTGTACCAGCTTTGCATATTACGTGACTGTCTTGCCGAACAAGTTTGCACTACCTCTTCCACTACTACCATCTCCACTTCCTTCTTTTTGCTTTTCTACCTGTGTCTCTCCCATCGCTGCCCTCCCCTCATATAAATACTGGCTACTTCACCTTTGTGTGTTAGTGTTTGACTAATTAATGGTCCAAGTTGGAACGTTTCCAGAGTGAAGATACCAAATGTTGCACGGATGTCTCTTTTATCAACCTGTCAGTTTTGTAAAGCATATATTCACAAGCCATGTTAGTACTGTGACACTTCACCCACACTCCCTCAAGTAACACAGCTGCTAGACAGGTATACAACCTTCCTTCACCGCTGACCTCGGGTAAGTTGAATGTCTGCACACTTCTGTGCAGATAGTCAGTTGAACCGACTAATAGGAAGGAGCGAGTAGCCAGTAATGGCAGTTGTTGTGGGTAGAGATGAGACTGTTTTGCTCTGATCATAACATTAATGGACCTTTCTGTAACTTAATGGACTTTGTCCATTTTTTCAAATTAACTGACTTAACACAGTTTATACCTCATTTGAGGTATATAAATGGAAAACAGGAATAAATAAAGGGGATGTAAATAACATGTTAAAAATATCTAACCAAGACAGGACTTGCAGCAGTGAGTTCAAGTTCGAAAAATTTAGGTTTAGGAGTTGTGGATGAGTGGAAGAAAGTCCCAAGTACCGTCATTAAAGCTTAAACCTCGAGTAGCTTTAAAAATAGACAAGTATACAAGTGGGTGGGTGTGACTTGGACCTGCCTAGCATGGGCCAGTAGGCCTTCTACAGTGCTCCTTTTTTATGTTCTTATGTTCACTTGAAGTCCATTAAATTGAAGGTGTTCTTTGTTTATTTATTCACATTTACAGCGACATTTTCCACTATTGCAGGTTGTTTATGTTGGTGAGGCACGATCCTTAAAAACCTACGGAGTGACATTCTTCCTGGTGAAGGAGAAAATGAAGGGTAAAAACAAGTTAGTGCCTCGACTACTGGGAGTGACAAAGGACTCAGTGTTGCGCCTTGATGAGAAGACTAAGGAGATCTTGAAGACGTGGCCACTCACTACTGTCAGGAGATGGGCAGCATCACCCAACACTTTCACCTTGGGTAAGTTACTATCATCATGTTCTAAATGATACAGGAGGACCCCCTACTTATGCAACAAGTTAGGTTCTGGGCTACTGTAGGGCCCCACTTATACAGCAAGTTAGGTTCCAGGCTACTGTAGGGCCCTGCTTATACAGCAGGTTAGGTACTGGGCTACTGTAAGGCCCTGCTTATACAGCAAGTTAGGTTCCAGGCTACTGTAGGGCCCCACTTATACAGCAAGTTAGGTTCCAGGCTACTGTAGGGCCCCACTTATACAGCAAGTTAGGTTCTGGGCTACTGTAGGGCCCCACTTATACAGCAAGTTAGGTTCCAGGCTACTGTAGGGCCCTGCTTATACAGCAGGTTAGGTACTGGGCTACTGTAAGGCCCCACTTATACAGCAAGTTAGGTTCTGGGCTACTGTAGGGCCCCACTTATACAGCAGATTAGGTTCTGGGCTACTGTAGGGCCCTGCTTATACAGCAGGTTAGGTACTGGGCTACTGTAAGGCCCCACTTATACAGCAAGTTAGGTTCTAGACTACTGTAGGGCCCCACTTATACTGCAGATTAGGTTCCAGGCTACTGTAGGGCCCCACTTATACTGCAGATTAGGTTCTGGGCTACTGTAGGGCCCCACTTATACTGCAGATTAGGTTCCAGGCTACTGTAGGGCCCCACTTATACTGCAGATTAGGTTCCAGGTTACTGTAGGGCCCCACTTATACAGTAAGTTAGGTTCCAGTTTACTGTAGGGCCCCACTTATACAGTAAGTTAGGTTCCAGGCTACTGTAGGGCCCCACTTATACAGTAAGTTAGGTTCCAGGCTACTGTAGGGCCCCACTTATACAGTAAGTTAGGTTCCAGGCTACTGTAGGGCCCCACTTATACAGTAAGTTAGGTTCCAGGCTACTGTAGGGCCCCACTTATACAGTAAGTTAGGTTCCAGGCTACTGATGTAAAGCAAATATCACTGTAAAATGAGGCAGCCTTATTCAACTTTCAAATACATATAAAATCCTGATAACATGTTTACACTAACATATATTAAGTGAGCAATAGAGCTAGGCCTAAAAAATGCATATACAGTACACACATTACTAGCCTTAAAATATTTTAGTCCTTAGCTTATAGTGAATGATTATGTTTATTGTAGGAAGTCTGAATATATTAAAAATGGCTGTAATTGAAAACTGCTGTATTAGTGAAACATTGTAAAGCAGGAATTGTGTGTATACACTGTGAGCAAGTTGATGGCCAAGACACACTTTTTTTTTCAACAAGTCGGCTGTCTCCCACCGAGGCAGGGTGACCCACCGAGGCAGGGTGACCCACCGAGGCAGGGTGACCCACCGAGGCAGGGTGACCCACCGAGGCAAGGTGACCCACCGAGGCAGGGTGACCCAAAAAAGAAAGAAAATCCCCAAAAAGAAAATACTTTCATCATCATTCAACACTTTCACCACACTCACACATTATCACTGTTTTTGTAGAGGTGCTCAGAGTACAACAGTTTAGAAGCATATACGTATAAAGATACACAACATATCCCTCCAAACTGCCAATATCACACATGCAGCATTAATCACATTTGTCAGTGAAACATTTCACCTGAGAAGCAAGTGTCATCAGTATATAGATATGAACTATAACTCTGGAAGAAGTAGAGAATGTATGGAGGTAGTCTGATATTCATTGGGAAACTCTAAACCCATAGGGGTCATATAGTACCTGGAGAATTAGATGCTGTTATTCTTCTTCTTTCAACAGACTGGCCATATCCCACCAAGGCAGGGTGGCCTAAAAAGAAAAACAAAAGTTTCTCTTTTTAACTTTAGTAATGAATACAGGAGAAGGGGTTATTAGCCCTTTGCTCCTGGCATTTTAGTCACCTCTTACAACATGTGTGGCTTATGGAGGAAGAATTCTGTTCCACTTAATGGGGAGTGGGTAAAGGAGGTTTTGTGGGCAAAGGGCTTGGTCTTCCAGAAAGCATGCTTGAGCGTGTTAGATAGGAGTGAATGGAGATGAATGGTTTTTGGGACCTGACGAGCTGTTGGAGTGTCAGCAGGGTAATATTTTGTGAAGGGATTCAGGGAAATTGGTTAGCTGAATTTGAGTCCTGGAAATGGGAAGTACATGTATACAGGAGAAGGGGTTACTAGCCCCTTGCTCCCGGCATTTTAGTCTCCTCTTAAGATACACATGACTTACGGAGGAAGTATTCAGTTTCACTTCCCCATGGAGAACAGTGTCAAATATAATATTAAAATTCCTAAAATAATAACAATGTTAGTTTTGAGGCTGATTTTGAGATATAATATTCTAGAAAGTTTATAATTTTCTAGGAACATTATAAAGCAGAGTACCATGCTGATAAACCATAGAATGGCTGGAGCTTGAACCCTATGTAAACAAGTCACACCTCACCTGTTCCATGGTTTGTTTGCAATCATATTATTAGAGTTACCATTCTGACAATTGTGTTTATTTCGTTTATTTAATAATTGTAATCTTTTCTAGACTTTGGCGATTACTCCGACCAGTATTATTCTGTCCAAACTACTGAAGGTGAACCAATTGCCCAGCTGATTGCTGGCTATATTGACATTATCCTTAAGAAGCAGCGTGCCAAAGATCACATAGGAATTGAGGGAGATGATGGGTCAGCGATGGTGGAAGATATGGTGTCACCTATCAAGTAAGTAAATCATAAGAACTAAAGTGTTGAACACTTGTCAGTTCTCAGTAACAACCCACATGGAGACAGACTCAGAGGATCGCAGAAGGGGGTCAATTTTTTTCTTTTAACATGTTTGGTGGAGTATAGGTGAATGATAACTCACTGAGATGATTGTAATATTGGTTTATTGAGTATAAAAGTGGAAGGAAACTCAGCCTGCAGTCTGATGTCCTGTCTGGCTGAGGGTACGTGTCTGACTGATTCCTCCTCCCAGCGGGGCGTCATAGCAGGTTTAAACTCTGCTGACCTGACAGTATTTGAAGTCTGTGGCATCATGGCTAACATATGTGAAATGTGTTGACAAACACACTGGCCGTATCCCACCAAGCTAAGGTGACCTAAAACAAAAAACACAAGTCTTTCTTCTTCTTTCAACACACCAGCCGTATCCCACCGAGGCGGGGTGGCCCAAAAGGAAAAACAAAAGTTTCTCCTTTCACATTTAGTAATATATACAGGAGAAGGGTTACTAAGCCCTTGCTCCTGGCATTTTAGTCGCCTTTACAACACGCATAGCTTACGGAGGAAGAATTCTGTTCCACTTCCCCATGGAGATAAGAGGAAATAAACAAGAACAAGAGCTAGTAAGAAACTAGAAGAAAACCCAGAGGGGTGTGTATACATATGCTTGTACATGTATGTGTAGTGTGACCTAAGTGTAAGCAGAAGTAGCAAGACGTACCTGAAACCTTGCATATTTATGAGACAGAAAAAACACCAGCAATCCTACCATCGTGTAAAACAATTACAGGCTTACGTTTTACACTCACTTGGCAGGACGGTAGTACCTCCCTGGGCGGTTGCTGTCTACCAACCTACTACCTAGGAAAAACACAAGTATATCTTTTTAAATTTAGTAATTTATACAGGAGAAGGGGTTACTAGATCCTTCCTCCTGGTATTTTAGTCACCTCTTATGATATATGACTCACGGAGGAAGAATTCTTCTCCATTTCCCCCATGGATAAGAGGTCGAAAAATACAGATAATTTAATCTTCTGAGTTTCTGTCTCCATGTGGGTTGTTATTGAGTAAGTACAGTAATGCATGTCACAGTTCTTCATGTACTCTTATGCTACATCATGCAGTCTCATGATTGATTCCAATAAGCATGTTTTGCCCTCTACAGTAAACATGTATGTTATAGATGTGTCACCTCAGTCATATGTATGTTACAGGTTTATCCTGTCAGGACAAATGACATAAAGATATTTCTCAATTTTGTATGAAATTACAATACAACCTCTCCTCACTTAACAACGGAGTTCCGTTCCTAAGACCACGTCGGTAAACAAATTATAGTCGCTAAGTGAGGAACATACTATAATGGTAGTGGGTTTGTGTCAACCATCTCTGATATTGTTTTAATGTCACCTTTGCACCATTTATAATATTTCTGGTATAGTATTTTTAAATGTTTATACAGTAGTGTACTGTATATTGTCATAAACAGAATAAAGGAAATCAGCTCTAATATACATTATTTAGTTATACATACAGTGAAACATATAAGTGAACAGTATTTAGATAAGGCTAAAGAGGCCTTTGTGGCATTTGTGGATTTGGAAAAGGCGTATGACAGGGTGGATAGGGGGGCAATGTGGCAGATGTTGCAGGTGTATGGTGTAGGAGGTAGGTTACTGAAAGCAGTGAAGAGTTTTTACGAGGATAGTGAGGCTCAAGTTAGAGTATGTAGGAAAGAGGGAAATTTTTTCCCAGTAAAAGTAGGCCTTAGACAAGGATGTGTGATGTCACCGTGGTTGTTTAATATATTTATAGATGGGGTTGTAAGAGAAGTAAATGCGAGGGTCTTGGCAAGAGGCGTGGAGTTAAAAGATAAAGAATCACACATAAAGTGGGAGTTGTCACAGCTGCTCTTTGCTGATGACACTGTGCTCTTGGGAGATTCTGAAGAGAAGCTGCAGAGATTGGTGGATGAATTTGGTAGGGTAGTGCAAAAGAAAAAATTAAAAGTGAATACAGGAAAGAGTAAGGTTATGAGGATAACAAAAAGATTAGGTGATGAAAGATTGGATATCAGATTGGAGGGAGAGAGTATGGAGGAGGTGAATGTATTCAGATATTTGGGAGTGGACGTGTCAGCGGATGGGTGTATGAAAGATGAGGTGAATCATAGAATTGATGAGGGGAAAAGGGTGAGTGGTGCACTTAGGAGTCTGTGGAGACAAAGAACTTTGTCCTTGGAGGCAAAGAGGGGAATGTATGAGAGTATAGTTTTACCAACGCTCTTATATGGGTGTGAAGCATGGGTGATGAATGTTGCAGCGAGGAGAAGGCTGGAGGCAGTGGAGATGTCATGTCTGAGGGCAATGTGTGGTGTGAATATAATGCAGAGAATTCGTAGTTTGGAAGTTAGGAGGAGGTGCGGGATTACCAAAACTGTTGTCCAGAGGGCTGAGGAAGGGTTGCTGAGGTGGTTCGGACATGTAGAGAGAATGGAGCGAAACAGAATGACTTCAAGAGTGTATCAGTCTGTAGTGGAAGGAAGGCGGGGTAGGGGTTGGCCTAGGAAAGGTTGGAGGGAGGGGGTAAAGGAGGTTTTGTGTGTGAGGGGCTTGGACTTCCAGCAGGCATGCGTGAGCGTGTTTGATAGGAGTGAATGGAGACAAATGGTTTTTGGTGCTTGACGTGCTGTTGGAGTGTGAGCAAAGTAACATTTATGAAGGGGTTCAGGGAAACCGGCAGGCCGGACTGGAGTGCTGGAGATGGGAAGTAAAGTGCCTGCACTCTGAAGGAGGGGTGTTAATGTTGCAGTTTAAACTGTAGTGTAAAGCACCCTTCTGGCAAGACAGTGATGGAGTGAATGATGGTGAAATTTTTTTTTTCGGGCCACCCTGCCTTGGTGGGAATCGGCCAGTGTGATAATAAAAAAATAAAATAACGTACTGGTCAGAGTCCGTCGTAATTCGAGTCGTCAGTCAACACGTTCGTAGTGAGGAGAGGCTGTCTTATACAGTGGACCCCCAGTTTACGATATTATTTCATTCCGGAAGTATGTTCAGGTGCCAGTACTGAACGAATTTGTTTCCATAAGGAATATTGTGAATTAGATTAGTCCATTTTAGACCCCCAAACATACACATACAAACGCACTTACATAAATACACTTACATATTGGTCGCATTGGGAGGTGATCGTAAAGCGGGGGTCCACTGTATTATGAACTGGTTGAATATTAGTACTACTACTTATTATTTTCTATTTACTACGATAACAATGTTCCCAAAGAAAATTTAGTAGCATAATTTAGAACTACAAAAGGATTTTTCTATTTCTTTTTAAAGTACACTGCCCATCTCCCACCTAGCCAAGGTGACTCGAAAAATATACATTTTCACCATCATTCACATTATCACTGTCTTGCCAGAGTAATGCAGATACAACGGTTTAAATGTCTCTCCAAACAGCAAATACCCCCACCCCTCCTTTATACTGCTAATTTTTTTTGTATAGGGCCAGTATCCTGCAGCATGGAGACACAGGAGGAGGAGCCAGGCATGTGGAGGAAGAGTCAATTGCCAAACCTGCGGTTATGAGGCCTGGAGTCAACGGTAAGTGTTTGAGCAATTTTGAATGAACAAGTCAGGACAGAAATTGTTGTAATAATATAGTCCCTACATGGAACACAATGAACAATTGTGGTTCTCCAGTAAGATGCAAGTTGGAAAGTGTGGTAATAATTCCCTACATGGAACACAATAAACAATTCTGGTTCTCCAGTAAGATGCAAGTTGGAAAGTGTGGTAATAATTCCCTACATGGTTGTTGAGGTGGTTCGGACATGTAGAGAGAATGGAGCAAAACAGAATGACTTCAAGAGTGTATCAGTCTGTAGTGGAAGGAAGGCGGGGTAGGGGTCGGCCTAGGAAAGGTTGGAGGGAGGGGGGTAAAGGAGGTTTTGTGTGCGAGGGGCTTGGACTTCCAGCAGGCGTGCGTGAGCGTGTTTGATAGGAGTGAATGGAGATGAATGGTTTTTAATACTTGACGTGCTGTTGGAGTGTGAGCAAAGTAACATTTATGAAGGGGTTCAGGGAAACCGGCAGGCCGGACTTGAGTCCTGGAGATGGGAAGTACAGTGCCTGCACTCTGAAGGAGGGGTGTTAATGTTACAGTTTAAAAACTGTAGTGTAAAGCACCCTTCTGGCAAGACAGTGATGGAGTGAATGATGGTGAAAGTTTTTCTTTTTCGGGCCACCCTGCCTTGGTGGGAATCGGCCAGTGTGATAATAAAAAATAATAATAATAATGGAACACAATAAACAATTCTGGTTCTCCAGTAAGATACAAGTTGGAAAGTGTGGTAATAATATAGTATAGACCACACTGAACAATTCTGGTACTGTGAGATGCAAGACAGAAAGTGTCCTAATAATATAGTCCCCACATGGAACACGATGACCAATTATGGTTCTCCTGTAAGATGCACAGCCGGATTAAGATTTTGTAGGCCCCTGGGCTACAGGTACTGTGAGGGCCCCTGGGCTACAGGTACTGTGAAGACCCTGGGCTACAGGTACTGTGAGGGCCCCTGGGCTACAGGTACTGTGAATACCCTGGGCTACAGGTACTGTGAGGGCCCCTGGGCTACAGGTACTGTGAAGACCCTGGGCTACAGGTACTGTGAGGGCCCCTGGGCTACAGGTACTGTGAAGACCCTGGGCTACAGGTACTGTGAGGGCCCCTGGGTTACAGGTACTGTGAAGACCCTGGGCTACAGGTACTGTGAGGGCCCCTGGGCTACAGGTACTGTGAAGACCCTGGGCTACAGGTACTGTGAGGGCCCCTGGGCTACAGGTACTGTGAAGACCCTGGGCTACAGGTACTGTGAGGGCCCCTGGGTTACAGGTACTGTGAAGACCCTGGGCTACAGGTACTGTGAGGGCCCCTGGGCTACAGGTACTGTGAAGATCCTGGGCTACAGGTACTGTGAGGGCCCCTGGGCTACAGGTACTGTGAAGACCCTGGGCTACAGGTACTGTGAGGGCCCCCAGTAATATTTTCAAAAGGAAAAAAAATAATCACAAGAGTCAACATTTCATCATATATGTGATGCAATAATACACTATAATTATAAACTTACAGCAGTAACAGTGAACACTTTTCACTTAATCTCTGAAGGCCCCCCAGCTGGTGGAGGCTCCCCAGCTGGCGGAGGCCCCCAGCTGGCAGAGGCTCCCCAGCTGGCGGAGGCTCCCCAGCTGGCGGAGGCTCCCCAGCTGGCGGAGGCTCCCCAGCTGGCGGAGGCTCCCAGCTGGCAGAGGCTCCCCAGCTGGCGGAGGCTCCCCAGCTGGCGGAGGCCCCCAGCTGGCAGAGGCTCCCCAGCTGGCGGAGGCCCCCAGCTGGCAGAGGCCCCCCAGCTGGCGGAGGCTCCCCAGCTGGCGGAGGCCCCTGGCTGCAACCCCTGAAGCCCATATCTTAATCCCGCCCTGGTAAGATGCAAGTCAGAGCGTATGGTAGTAATTCCCTACATGGAACACAATGAACAATTCTGGTTTTCCTGTACAATACAAGTCAGAAAGTTTGGTAATAATATAGTCCTTAAATGAAACACAAACAGTATTGGTTCTCCAGTAAGAAGCAAGACAGAAAGTGTGGTAGTAATATAGTCACTACGTGGAACACAAGAAAGAGTTCCGGTTCTCCAGTAAGAAGCAAGACAGAAAGTGTGGTAGTAATATAGTCACTACGTGGAACACAAGAAAGAGTTCCGGTTCTCCAGTAAGAAGCAAGACAGAAAGTGTGGTAGTAATATAGTCACTACGTGGAACACAAGAAAGAGTTCCGGTTCTCCAGTAAGAAGCAAGACAGAAAGTGTGGTAGTAATATAGTCACTACGTGGAACACAAGAAAGAGTTCCGGTTCTCCAGTAAGAAGCAAGACAGAAAGTGTGGTAGTAATATAGTCACTACGTGGAACACAAGAAAGAGTTCCGGTTCTCCAGTAAGAAGCAAGATAAGTTTTATTAAACAAAAATTTTTTTACCCAGTGCTGGATCTTTATGTGCTCATATTTTATTGTTTGCAGTAGTGCTTTATTTTTATGTTTAAAATATTGCTTTGGTATATGGTTATACAGTGGACCCCCGCATAACGATCACCTCCGAATGCGACCAATTATGTAAGTGTATTTATGTAAGTGCGTTTGTACATGTATGTTTGGGGGTCTGAAATGGACTAATCTACTTCACAATATTCCTTATGGGAACAAATTCGGTCAGTACTGGCACCTGAACATACTTCTGGAGTGAAAAAATATCGTTAACCGGGGGTCCACTGTATTACACATATTTTTAAAATTGTCTTTTGTAAAAATGACCAGTTTAAACATTTGAGTCATTGTACGGAACTACGTTAAGCCAAGTGATTAACACACTGGCCTGGAGTTGTAGGACTCACGTGCCATGGGTTCAATCCCCCACCAATTCCATGTTTTTTTTTTTTGCATATGTTATTTTTAATGTGACACATACATATAACTTATAAGTACAGTAGTCCTCCTGTGTTGCAGGGGATACACTATACATTGAGAATTATCACTTTTTCACTGATGGGAACCACTTCACGGTTTCTCGTAGGCTTTGAAGAACTATCAACATTTCTATTTTTTGCAAAATTAAGGATTATTTTCAAGTCGTGGTAAACCACGGATTACTGAAACTGCGAAAACCAAATCCGTGGATACGTGGGTTCTACTGTACTCATTTAGAGCTTTGAAGAAATTTTGTCCATAATTCTTAAGGAACACATTATTCTTATTTTGTGTATTTAGTAATCTGTTATATATTTGTTATGAAGTTTGATGATTTTTGGCCTGTCATAACTTTTGTGTTAATAGTATAATATTTGGCCGGTTTTTATTAATTTAACTAAGTGGCTATTTGCTATTTTATGTGAAAATATTTACATATATGCATTTTATAGGTAGAGGCTTTTTCGTAACTTATTTTCATCTGTTTTGCTGTATTTTTGAGTTTTGCATCTCCCTTGCTAGGCGCCCAGAACTTCGGTACAGGCTCCATGCCAGGAGTGCAGTCTGTAGCTGTTGTGGGGCAGATCAACCTTGCCCACCAGCCTCCCACAGTAAGTAAATGGATAAAAGATATGTTCCAGGTATTGCTGTGCTGATTAATGCTTTTGTAAATATATTGCCATTTATCACTAAATGTTTTAGTTCAAACTGGTAAAGCTAATATCTCTGTGTCTATTTATTACTCGTTTAGTGTGAAGGATGTTTACTAAAATTTATTTCTCTGTGTCTTTAAGGTCAGTGTTTTTTGTTTGTGAAAGACCCTTAGATCTAAAGAATTGGAGCTGCCCTCCTCTTCCTTGGATTAAATCTGATTGCTTTCTATTTCCTGAGAGCTGTACTCACCTGTGTGTAGTTGCAGGGGTCAAGTTTTGGCTCCTGGCCCTGCCTCTTAACTTGCCTCTTGCCACATTCACTACCACTGACCTTGTGAGCTATATTGTACTTGCTCTTAAAACTGTGTATGGAAACTTCCTCCACCACTCCTTCATCAGTATACCTTATACCTTTGAATAGTCTCAAGAGCTTTTCTATTCCCAGACCATCCACCAAGTGTGTGTTTCCCACCTCTCAGACAGCCTGTACCTCTCTTCCATAACAGTTACAATGAATATTTTATATGTTATGGCTTCCCTGGTTCTTCTGTCCTCCAGTACCATTATATTTAACTCCACAACAGATCCTCCTCGACTTCCGACCCATGCAACTTATGTTCATCCGCACATGCGACCCAAAAAAAGACACACATGACTTGCAGAGGAAGAATTCTTTACCACTTCCCCGTGGAGATAAGATCTATATACAGTATTAATATTTATATCCCTTTCATAACTTAAAGGTGCAATACTTGAGATTATCTGGTCAGTGAAATTTTTGAGACAGATCTTACATTAATAAAGTTATCTGCCAGCATTTCTAAACTGTATACACACTGCCCAAAATTTTACCTTTTAAAGTTCTTATTCTTTCTTAGCTTTCATTTGCTGCATCATCAGGTTCAGGGCTTTGTACGTTCATCACAATGTTCATTATTTGTACTCGGTTAATTTCTAATTTCATATGTATCAGTTTACATTTGGCAATATTCTCAAGAATAAGATGATTTTTTTCTTCACTACTTGACTATTCTCAAGACTAGAAGGATTTTTCTTTCGTTATATGAAGGGTAATTTTCCCCTCTATGATATGAGAATATTCAGGACTACGAAAATCTTTTCATCTGATATAAGATATTCTCAACATTAGAGTATTAGTTTTTCCTCTATTATACAAGTATTCTATTAACCATCAACCATTGCTGTATTTGATAGACCTATGTACTGTATTAGTGTATGAAAACATGAACATTGCACATTAACCCCTAAACTGTCCAAACGTAGATCTACGTTCACGTGCGTAGCGCTCCGAACGTAGATCTACGTTTTTTTTTTACTTGCTTTCAAATGGAGAAAACAAAGGTCGGAGCGCTACGCACGTGAACATAGATCTACGTTTGGACAGTTTATGAGTTAAATGTTGACTATATAAAAAAAATCTTGTGATTCTTCTTGAAAATATATTAGCCACAAAAAATGTCTCCTGGTGGAAGATGTTTTGTATATGTCTTGTTACCGAACATGCTCTTCATCAGTCATTTCTGGTCACTCAGCTCTTTTGTTAATATGAAACATTGTTTTAGTGTTTCTTGTTATAATTATGCTCTTTGGTTAGATTTCATAATTTTTAGGACTCTTGTAATAATTGTAATGTGAATAACTAAAGTGTGACAAATACAGTGGACCCCCGCATAACGATTACCTCCGAATGCGACCAATTATGTAAGTGTATTTATGTAAGTGCGTTTGTACGTGTATGTTTGGGGGTCTGAAATGGACTAATCTACTTCACAATATTCCTTATGGGAACAAATTCGGTCAGTACTGGCACCTGAACATACTTCTGGAATGAAAAAATATCGTTAACCGGGGGTCCACTGTACTGTCACTGCTTATTAATAACTCAGGTTGGTTGATCTGTATGTTTTGATTCCTCCTCTGGGGTCCTCTTCAGCAGATATGCAAGTGAAACGAGAACTTGAATTTACAGGAAAAACCGAACCTCTCACTGTGCTGGGAAGTAGAGAGTGTCGGGTGAGTGCGCTGACCCGACACTCTGCTTCCCAGCATGGTGAGTGGTTCAACTTTTCCTGTAAATTCAAGTTCTCCTTTTCACTTGTGTATCTGCTGAAGAGGACCCCAGAAGGGGGTTGAAATATAGATCAATCAGCCTCCTAAGTTTCTGTCTCCCTGTGGGTTATTACTGAGCATATTGTAGTGTATTTGTATTGTAGATGATAGTTATGTTGATAACATCATTTTTCTAGTATATTTTCTTTTGTCTTGCTATTGTGAACTTTGATTTGTTGTATATATAACCTTTTAGAACTTCAGTTATATATATCCTTTTTTAAGGAAAGTGCTTTTTTCTTTCCTTGTAGCGGTGGTTTTATTGGATGTTTTTTGTTTTTCTCTTTTTGCAAGCTTCCTACCTAGGAGTGTTAAGACCGCAAGTACGTGTCATGCTAAGATCTCTCTTTTATAAGGAATGAATAATGACCTCCATTCTTTTATAAGTCTCATATTTAATATACCATTTACAGTAGCTTTAAAAAATTATACTTCATTTTTGTAATAAATTATTGTAGACTACTGAAAAATTTCACTTTTTGATGTTAGAAGGAAATTTAGAATGCACACAATTATTTTTATTAATATTGTTAATGGTGTTTGCAGGCTAAACACCCTCAAGTAACAAGCGTTCTTAGCAAACCACAAAAAGCTCTTGTCACCACAATTGAAACTGGTCACTTGATAATTGGTGAATGTACACAAAGTTTGGAGACAAAGGCTGAGCTTCCTGAGCTGGGCACAGACCCAGCATCCATCAAGTGGAAGCAGGTGACCCTCGACTCCAACAAGCAGACTGTTACAAGTCAGATCGCAGCCATGAATGCTGCCACGGCTGAAGTGGTCACACTGACCTCCTGTGAGTACAAAATCTTCTTGTTTGATACTTTGAAGTCCTTGAATGTGCCCCTGTGAACAGTATCTTATGAACAGTATCTTGTGAACAGTGTCTTGTGAACAGTGTCTTGTGAACAGTGTCTTGTGAACAGTGTCTTGTGAACAGTGTCTTGTGAAGAGTGCTCCACCGAATTCAGAAGAAGATACACTCTTGTAGTTTTAATATATGGTATTCATAGTTCAGTCAGATATAATAAATAAAACCTTTGAAGAGTTTCGAGAGTTTCACTACTCTCGGAGCCCGGTCATGGCCCAGGCTCGTCTGGTGCTTGCCTGGTCAACCAGGCTGTTGCTGCTGGAGGCCTGCTGCCCTTACGGTTATTACAATGAATTAGATTGGAAGAGCTGTACTCATAGAGGTCATATAGTGCCTTACAGCCACTGTCTCTAGCGACTTGTGAAGGAAGATGATCTTATTTTTATCCAAGTTATTTCACGTGAATTTTACAGCAGAGTACAGCTCATGCTTCATTGAAAGTGTATGTAGACTCATAGGTCGATCACTTTCTTGCAAGTACAGTGGACCCTTGACTAACGATATTAATTGGTACCCGAGACTGAATATCGTTAGTCGAGTTTTTTTTATCGTTAGTCGAGGCAACATGTTAGCATTAACATGTATCGTTAGTCGAATTTAATGTTAGACAATGTCATCGTTGGTCGAGGGTCTACTTTATTAAAGATTGTTCGGCTTGGGAAACTACGTTGTGGCCTCGTTTATGTTACATTACATTCCATTCTGACCAGCAACAGCAGCCATCAAAGGACCAGTGTTTGAAACACTGTTCAGCAAAATATTCACATGAATACTTTTATTCACAGTGCCAGTTTGTGTCTGGGTGATTTTTAGTGTTATGCTACTATTTTTGTTAATACAGTGGACCCCCGGTTTACGATCACCTCCCAATGCGACCAATATGTAAGTGTATTTATGTAAGTGTGTTTGTATGTGTATGTTTGGGGTCTGAAATGGACTAATCTAATTCACAATATTCCTTATGGGAACAAATTCGGTCAGTACTGGCACCTGAACATACTTCTGGAGTGAAAAAATATCGTTAACCGGGGGTCCACTGTACAGTGGACCCCTGGTTTACGATCACCTCCCAATGCGACCAATATGTAAGTGTATTTATGTAAGTGTGTTTGTATGTGTATGTTTGGGGGTCTGAAATGGACTAATCTAATTCACAATATTCCTTATGGGAACAAATTCGGTCAGTACTGGCACCTGAACATACTTCTGGAGTGAAAAAATATCGTTAACAGGGGGTCCACTGTAATTGGACTTATTACCTTTATGCTGGATAATTATCTTATTTTTCATCTCCAGAGTAATTGGTTTTGCCTCATCATAAAGTCAAAATATCATAAATCAAGGAGCACCTGTATTCATACTGCTTTTGTATAGTTATTTAATACTTTTGTTTCTTGTTTCCAGCTGTACATGAAGAAGTTGATCACACTGCTGTAGGTGCCGCCATTCATACTATTACTTCTAACCTGCCGGAAATGACGAAGGGCGTTCGCATGATTGCTGCTCTTCTGGAAACTGAAAATGAGTCGGATAAACTGTTAGGTGCAGCCAGAGTTCTCTGCAATGCCTTCTCTGACTTGCTGATTGCTGCTGAGCCTGAGAGAAAGGAACCTCGTCAGGGATTGCTGACGGCCGCTTCTCAAGTCGGAGAGGCTTCCAATGTTGTTCTTCACACCGTTGATGCTCACCTTGATCATGAAACTCAAGATATTCTCCTTGGACTGGCTAAGGCTGTTGCAAACACAACTGCAGCTCTTATTCTCAAAGCTAAGGCTGTTGCTTCACACTGTGAGGATCAAGAGCTTCAGAATATTGTTATAAATTCTGCCACTGCATGTGCTCTAGCAACCTCCCAACTGGTGGCTTGTGCAAAAGTTGTAGCTCCCACCATCGACAGTCCTGCATGCCAGAGTCAGCTTATCGAAGCTGCAAAGGAAGTTGGTCGAGCAGTTGAATGCATGGTGCAGGTGTGCCAGCGTGCAACACAAGATGACATACTACTCCGTGACCTCTCCCAGGCAGCAGCCGAAGTCACACGAGCTCTCAACGATCTTCTGAACCACATCAAGACTGCTGGGGAGCAAAGAGGCCGTCTCACCGTCCACGACGAATCTGTGGAAACTATTCTTATCTCAAGTGAAAAGTTATTTGCCTCTCAGGGTAATGCATCAGAAATGGTTAGACAGGCTAAGATCTTGGCTCAGGCCACTTCACACCTCATACAATCTATTAAATTTGAAGCAGAATCCCAAGAAGATCCAGATCTGCAGAACAGATTATTAGCGGCAGCCAAACAGCTTGCTGATGCTACTGCAAAAATGGTCGAGGCTGCTAAGCAGTGTGCTTCACATCCTAATGATGAAAATCACCAAGTATTACTTAGAGAAGCTGCAGAAAATGTTAGAGTTGCAACCAATGCTGCTGCAGCTAACGCACTGAAGAAAAAGATTATTAAGCGCCTGGAAAATGCTGCTAAGCATGCTGCTGCCACAGGCACACAGTGTATGGCTGCTGCTCAAGGTGCTGGCCCACATAACAGTAGTCCAGCTACTCAAGATGAACTAATATCTGACTGCAAGTCAGTGGCAGATGTAATTCCTCGCCTTGTGGAGGGTGTAAAGGGTACTATCAATAATCCAGATTCACCACGCTCTCAGCTGGCCCTTATCAATTCATGCAACCAGTTCCTACAACCTGGTACAAAAATGGTGGCCTCTGTGAAAGCTGCTTTGCCTACCATCTCAGATCAAGCTTCTGCTCTTCAACTCAACAATTCTTCCAAGCAGTTTGGCCAAGCTTTGGTTGACCTTAGATCTGCAATTGGGAAAGCCCAAGAAGCATGTGGGTCATTAGAAATTGATTCTGCACTAGATGCTATTCAGGGTCTCAGTGATGACCTCAGTGACCTTGGGAAAGCTGCCAAAGCTGGCACTTTGCGACCTCTGCCCGGTGAGACGCCAGAGAATGCCGCACAGCAACTTACAAACTCTAGTAAGACTGTGGGCTCCACTATGGCACAGTTACTGACATCATCTTCCCAAGGTAACCAGCACTTCACCGGCTTGGCTTCCCGCGATACCGCACAAGCCCTTAAAGAATTTTCTAATGCTGTTCGGGGTGTTGTTGCCACATCCTCCGATCACACTCTTAGATATCGTCTGATTGAAGCTGCACGAGAGGTAATGATAAAGTCGTCAGAGCTGATTGAGGAAGCTCGTGTAGTCGTGCAGGGACCTCAGAGTGCCGCTTCACAACAGAAGCTTGCTCAGGTGGCTAAAGGTGTATCTCAAGCTCTTAATATGACAGTTAACTGCCTACCTGGTCAGAAAGATGTCGATGATGCTATAATGAGTATTACTGATTCAACCAACGATTTGGATGCTGGCAGGTTCCCACGTAGCTCAAAGCCATATGGTGAATTACAGTCTGAACTGAGCAATGCTGCTGCTGAACTCAACAGTGTTACTTCAGAAGTGGTGACATCGGCTCGCATGTCTACACAACATTTGGCAACATCGTCTAAAAAATTCTCAGGAGCATTTGGCAGTTTGATGGGCGTTGGCATGGAGATGGCTGGCACCGCTCAAGATCGTGAAGTACAGGGACAGATAGTTGTTAGCTTGAAGAGTGTGTCAATGTCTTCATCAAAACTGTTAGTATCTGCCAAGACAGTTTCTGCCGATCCTAATGCCCCTAATGCCAAGAATCAGTTGGCAAGTGCTGCCCGAGCTGTTACAGACTCCATCAACAATCTCATTAATGTGTGTACATCTGCTGCTCCCGGGCAGAAGGAGTGTGATAATGCTGTCCGGGCTATTCAGTCAATGAAACCTCTTCTTGACCATCCATCTGAGTCTGTTACAGATATGTCTTACTTTGAGTGCTTGGATACAGTCATGGATCGCTCCAAGAGTTTAGGAGATGCTATGACTGGCATTGCTAACCATGCAAAGAAACTGGAACATGACAAATTTGGGTTTGCTGTAAAAGACGTGAGCAATGCTATATGTGGACTGGTTGAGAGTGCTGCTCAGGCAGCTTATCTTGTTGGTGTTTCTGATTCATCAAGTGTTGCTGGCCGTCCGGGATTAGTTGATCAGTCGCAGTTTGCTCGTGCAAATCAGGCTATCGTCAATGCTTGCCAAACACTCACCGATTCCAACAGCAATCAGCAGCAGGTTCTTAGTGCAGCAACAATCATTGCTAAGCACACCAGTGCGTTATGCAACAGCTGCCGTGTTGCATCTGCCAAGACCAACAATGTTGTGGCCAAGCGTCATTTTGTGCAATCTGCCAAGGATGTTGCAAATGCAACTGCTCACCTGGTTAAAGAAATTAAGAGTAAGTATAATTGTAACTTTTCAGTGAAATGAACCAAAACAGTCAGCATCAGTGGTAGGTTAAGTCACAAGTTAATTAATAGATAATATTAAGTGAATCTATGATCAGTTTAAAGTGCTGTTGGAGTGTGAGCAAGGTAATATTTTTGGAGGGGTTCAAGGAAACAGGTTAGCCGGACTTGAGTCCTGGAGGTGGGAGATACAGTGTCTGCACTCTGAAGGATGGGTAGAGATATGTTGTAGTTTTGAACTGTAGTATTGGTGCACCTCTGGCAAGACAATGATTGAGTGAGATAAAAGCATTTCTTCCATTTTTGGGTCACCCTGCCTTGGTGGGTCACCCTGCCTTGGTGGGTCACCCTGCCTTGGTGGGTCACCTTGCCTTGGTGGGTCACCTTGCCTTGGTGGGTCACCTTGGTGGGTCACCTTGGTGGGTCACCTTGCCTTGGTGGGAAATCGTCAGTGTATTAAGAAATATATAAAAAGACATGTAGAAAAACTTTAGAAGATTAAAGTCATTATTTGTCATAATTATAATTATTTTAGTTTTTTACTTTCATTTTTATACATATTTGCCAATAATGAAGCATTTTTTCCTAATTTAATCTTAAAGGACCCCTCAAGGAAGGTTCCTTGATGTTGGTGAGGGGCTCTTGATTTAGGGAATTGGATCTGTGCTCCAGTTCCCCGAATTAAGCCTGAATGCCTTCCACATCCCCCCCCCCCCAGGTGCTGTATAATCCTCCGGGTTTAGCGCTTCCCCTTGATAATAATAATCTTAAAGGAAAAGTCAAGAGTGTGAATTTTACTAGTATGATAGCACTAGCATGTAGATTTAAGAACATAAGAAAGGAGGAACACTGCAGGAGGCCTGTTGGCCCATACTAGGCAGGTCCTTTACAATTCATCCCACTAACAAAACATTTGACCAACCCAATTTTCAATGCCACCCAAGAAATAAGCTCTGATGTGCAAGTCCCACTCAAATCCAACCCCTCCCACTCATGTACTTATCCAACCTAAATTTGAAACTACCCAAAGTCCTAGCCTCAATAACCCAACTAGGTAGACTGCAAGGTATCATTTATGAAGCAATTCAGGGGAAACTGATTAGTTGAACTCAAGTTCAGGAGGTGGGAAACAGTGCCTGCACCTGAAGAAGAGGTGGGGATCATTCAGTTCAGAAGTTCAACTGAACTTTGATGGGGAGACATATGTTGAATGAATGATGGAAAATTTGATTCCTCTTTTTTGGGACCACTGTACCTTGATGGGAGGCAGCCAGTGTGTTATAGTTTTTTAAATTAGTTTATGTTTATAAAACGTTATTTCAAAGAAGTTTTAAGTAGGAATTATTTATCAGAGATCATTGGTATTGTGTTGTGTTTCTCTGGTACTGTGTTGTGTTTCTCTGGTACTGTGTTGTGTTTCTCTGGTACTGTGTTGTGTTTCTCTGGTACATACTGTGTTGTGTTTCTCTGGTACTGTGTTGTGTTTCTCTGGTACTGTGTTGTGTTTCTTTGGGAATGTGTAGTGATTCTATGATAGTGTGTTGTGTTTCTATGGTAATGTGTTTCTATGGTACAGCATTGGACCAGGATTACAGTGACGTGAACCGTGCCCGCTGCAGTGCTGCCACCAAGCCACTCCTGGAAGCTGTAGATAATCTCTGCACCTTTGCAAGCTCTCCAGACTTCGCATCAGTTCCTGCCAAGATTTCTGCCAAGGCTCGTGAATCTCAAGTGCCAATCACATCCGCAGGAAAAGCAATCATCAATGGATCTTGCTCGATGATTGAGTCGGCCAAGAGCCTGGCGGTCAATCCCAAGGATCCACCTACTTGGCAGTCACTGGCTAGCCACAGCAAAAGTGTTTCTGACAGTATTAAAAGCTTAGTGGCATCCATCAGGTAAGAAAACTGCATGAAATGGCATGGTAGTACAATGGTAGAATATTCTGAATGTAGAGTAGTCCTCCTGTATCCACGCAGGATACATTCCATACCTAAAATCAAGGATAACAGTGAACCCTATATTAAAGTCATTTTTGTTTACATACACACCTCTGATATAATTTAATTGATAAATTACACACAATAAGTTGAGAATTAGCACAGTTTTAGTGATGGGAAGCACTTCAGACCTTCTCTTAGGCTTTGAAGAACGGCCACCATGAGTACTTTTGTGCTTTGGAGACATTATTAAGCAAAACTAAGGGTTATTTTTGGGGCACAGTAAACAGCAGATAACTGACACCATGGAAACTAAATCTGCAGATAAGGGGGTCCTACTGTATGTACAGATGCATCTCACTTTATGACGGTTCAAGTTACGATATTTCAATTTTGTGATGGTGTTGTGATAGTGGCACATTCTGTACTGTACAGTACTGTTTATTTACTGATAAGATAAACTTGTATTCATTTATTTACTTTAAAATACTGGTATTTAATTAGTTACAGTAATTATTTGTTTGATAAATTAGACACATGTGCAACTCTTGGGTATCTTTATTGAGGAAACGTTTCACCACACAGTGGCTTCATCAGTCCATACAAAGGAGAAACTTGAAGAACAGGAGGAGAATGAAGTAATCAGTCCCTCAACCTTGAGTCGATGTGGTCAGTCCATCAATTTTGAATAGAATATGGCATATGGGCGGAGAAGCAGCTTATAAACCGTATGGCAGGAGAGGTGCAGCAGTCATAGGTGGTGTCACATTTGTTCAATGTGGAAGTAGGTCGTGCCCAAGAATTAGGCAAGCGAGGAATTCCCAAGTATTAAGATCCCAAGAAGATGCAGTGTCTGACAGGATTGTAGATGAATGGTTCGGAGAACCGACACATTGATAAATTAGACACATGTGCAACTCTTGGGTATCTTTATTGAGGAAATGTTTCGCCACACAGTGGCTTCATCAGTCCATACAAATGTGACACCACCTACGACTGCTGCACCTCTCCTGCCTACAGTTTATAAGCTGCTTCTCCGCCCATATGCCGTATTCTATTCAAGATTGATGGACTGACCACATCGACTCAAGGTTGAGGGACTGATTACCTCATTCTCCTCCTATTCTTCAAGTTTCTCCTATGTATGGACTGATGAAGCCACTGTGTGGCAAAACGTTTCCTCAATAAAGATACCCAAGAGTTTCACATGTGTCTAATATATCAACGTGTTGGTTCTTTGAACCATTCATCTACAATTATTTGTTTACTTATTCAGCGACGGTATTTATTTTGAAGATTGAGACACTTATGCAGCACATGGGAATCTTTATTAAGGAAACGTTTCGCCACACAGTGGCTTCATCAGCGCCTTCCTCTTTGTTTTGGACTGATGAAGCCACTGTGTGGCGAAACGTTTCCTTAATAAAGATTCCCATATGCTGCATAAGTGTCTCAATCTTCAACTTGTCGGTTTTTCAAACCATTCATCACACGGTATTTATTTTACAATAATTTTCAACTTAAGATGCATTCTTCGGAACCTAACCCCCATCGTAAGTCAAGGAGCACCTGTATATAACACACAGTTTGCAGGTTATGGCATTTTCATTTTATTTATGAGTGTGTTAGATAGGAGTGAGTGGAAGCAAATGGTTTATGTGACTTGACATGTTGTTGGAGTATAAGCATAGTAACATTTATGAAGGGATTCATGGAAACTGGTTAGTCCTGGAGGTGGGAAGTACAGTGCCTGCACTCTGAAGGATGGGTGGAGATGTATTGCAGTTTTTGTACTGTTGTGTAGATGCACATCTGGCAAGACAGTGCTGGAATGAATGATGATGAAAGTGTTTCTTCTTTTAGGGTCATCCTGCAGATGTCACTTTCAATTTCGAAGACTCAGTAATAATCACAGTATTGAATTGAATTAAATTTAATATTACTTTTGAAGCATTTTCTCCATTCTATTTAGCATATTCTTATTTAACCCTTAAACGGTCCAAACGTATATATACGTTTTTTCAACATTTGAAAGTATGCGAAAAAATGTAGATCTTTTTTGTTTTACATTTGAAAACGTGTAAAAAAACTTTTATCTACTTTTTTTTTTGTTATATTTGAAAATATGAAAAAAAAAGTTCTCCATGGGGAAGTGGAACAGAATTCTTCCTCTGTAAGTCATGCGTGTCGTAAGAGGCGACTAAAATGCCGGGAGCAAGGGGCTAGTAACCCCCTTCTCCTGTATATATTACTAAATTTAAAAGGAGAAACTTCAGTTTTTTTCTTTTGGGCCGCCCCACCTCGGTGGGATACGGCTGGTACGTTGAAAGAAGAAGTAAAAAAAAGTAGATCTACTTTTGTAGCTACGAATTTGAACGTCAATCTGTTTGGACCGTTTAAGTGTTAATTGTTACATTCCCCCTAGTAACCATAATGAAGAATTATGCTGAAACGTTAATACAGTTTTTATTGTTTCACGCAATAGTTGTCTCCCACCGAGGCGGTGTCACTCGAAAAAGAAGACGTGAAGTTTTTCTTCCTTTTACATTTAGTAATTTATACAGAAGGGGTTACTAGTCCCTTGCTCACAGCATTTAATACAATTATTGAAAAATAGTGAATTTCCAAGCACTTCTGTGATTTCTCACATTATTAAGGAACTGATAATGTAAGAAATCACAAAAATGGTTGGAAATTCACTATTTTTTTCACAGTGCTTATTTTTCATATTATATTGCCTGTTTACTGTGATTTTTTTTTTCAACAAACTGCCCATGTCCCACCAAAGCAGGGTGACCTAAAAAGAAAAACAAAAGTCTCTCTTTTTAACTTTAGTAATGTATACAGGAGAAGGGGTTACTAGCCCTTTGCTTCTGGCATTTTAGTCGCCTCTTACGACACACAACTTATAGAGGAAGAATTCTACTGTTATCTTACTGTAACAATTAACGGAATGCATATTTTGGTAGGGATAAAGCACCAGGACAAAAGGAATGTGACGAAGCCATTGAGAAGCTTAACATGAATATAAGAGACTTAGACCAAGCGTCTCTCTCCGTCTTGGACCAGAACCTTCAACAACATAGTGAAAACACACTCCAGGTAACTTTTTTATCAAAAAAAAAAAGAACGATGCCTGTTCACTTCTTTCGTTTTACCGAAAATCATAAAATTCACAGCTCAGTTTTTCTTTCGTTATAATTGCTCTTCGACCCAATTTTTATTTATTTCTTAGGGGTCATGAAGCACATGGTTATAATAATGAAAATGAGGGAAGTTTTCTTAATTTTGATATATGTAGGCCTTAAATTTAAATATGCAGCACAAATGAAAATGTGCTAAATTCTAATTGTCAAAGAATTATTTTAGAAATTGTAATCCAGTATTTTTAAAAATTTCTGTATTTCCAAATGCAGTATAAAAAATTAAATAAAAATGTACTAAATTCTTATTGTCAAGGAATTTTAGAAATTATAATTTTTTTTTTTTTTACTGTTCCTCTACATTTCCAGAGTATAATAATTCATTACTTTTCACATAGGGTTATAACGAACAAGTCGAGAACGCAGGTCAGGCTCTGCAAATGAACATCGACAAGGTTCGAAATGCTGCCAAGAGCGAAGCAGAACACCTCGGTCATGCCATCACCCAAATGTCCAGTTACTTCGACCCCATGGTTACTGCTTCCATCTGCTCGGCATCAAATATGCTCAACAGGTAAATAACAAAAAGGCACAGTAACGTGACTGGAGCAATATACAAATATCCCACATATACGAGACAGAAAAGCTTTTGATGATGCTTCGGTCCGACTTGGACCATTTACAAGTCACTGTGTAACTTGACCATTTACAAGTCATGTGTAACTTGACCATTTACAAGTCACTGTGTAACTTGACCATTTACAAGTCACTGTGTAACTTGACCATTTACAAGTCACTGTGTAACTTGACCATTTACAAGTCACTGTGTAACTTGACCATTTACAAGTCACTGTGTAACTTGACCATTTACAAGTCATGTGTAACTTGATGACCATTTACAAGTCCTTGCATAACTTTATGACCATTTACAAGTCACTGTGTAATTTGACTTGACCATTTACAAGTCACTGTGTGACTTGTAATGGTTCAAGTTGGACCAAAACATTATAAGCTTCTCTCCAGTGTGCAGGTTATTTTTGCATTGTTTGACAGGTAAGATGGGAAATTATATGAGATGAAAAATTAGAGACAGGTGCAACACTTGGGTATCATTATTGTGGAGGAGTTTGACCACACATTGGCTTCATCAGTCCAGAAGAATGAAGATTAGAAGGAGAATGAGGTAAACAGTCCCACAGCCTAAAATTTGATGTAATCATTCCATCAGTGGACTGATTAATCAGTCCATCATTCTTTACGATCGAAGGACTGATTATATAATTACATCGACTCCAGGCTGAGGGATTGATTACCTCAAATGCCTTCTGGTCTTCATTATTTTTCTTTGTATGAGACTGATGAAGCCGCTGTGTGGTGAAATGTTTCCCAAGTTCTGCACATGTGCCTCATTTATCAACTTGTCGGTTCTTTGAACCATTTATACAATATTGACTTGATGGTAAAACTCTTTAAGAGTTAGCATTGTTGTTATATGGAATCTTTTATTACCGTTTTACCCACACTGTGGGCATGTTCGTGATACGATAAACCCACTGTGTGGGCAAAACATCATCAATTAAAGATTTTATATAACTATATCTTCATGTCTTTCCTGTGCTCAGCAGGTTGATGTGTACCCATTTTATTCACAAAGTACTCACTGTACATAAAGTACACACTTTATACATAATACACCTACCATCCGACTTACGACCTGCTCGACTTACAACCACTCGACTTACGACCGTGTTTTTTATGCTAAATTTCTGGGAAATAAACAAGTACAGTGGACCCCCGGTTTATGATATTTTTTCATTCCAGAAGTATGTTCAGGTGCCAGTACTGACCGAATTTGTTCCCATAAGGAATATTGTGAATTAGATTAGTCCATTTCAGACCCCCAAACATACACGTACAAACGCACTTACATAAATACACTTACATAATTGGTCGCATTGGGAGGTGATCGTAAAGCGGGGGTCCACTGTATTTGTGTTGTACACAGTGTTTATCCTAAACTTTACAGTATAAAATACAGTACTAACAGCATAAAAAATAAAGTAAAACATGAAATACCAAAATAAAACAATAAAATAAAGTCATTACAAAAATGTTTTGTTGATATTCAGTAGTCAAGTTCGACTTACAACCATTTTGACTTACGACCGGTTTCTTGGAACCGAACTCGGTCGTAAGTCGGATGGTAGGTGTATATGCATTATATAGAATGCAAAATAACCACTGTGAAAAAATATTAAATTTCCAATAGTTTTCGTGATTTCTCACACAAGTGTGAGAAGTCACGAAAGCACTTGGAAATTCACCATTTTTTCACATTGGTTGTTTTGCATATTGTGATATCACCTGTTTACTGTGATCTTATTGCATGCTATGTACAATTTATACTCACTTTGTACACTAAATGCTACTCAAGGTAGCAAATAAGAGTGTCTGTCTTTCAGAATATATAATTTTTTCTCAGTAATAACCCACATGGAGACAGAATCAAAGGAAGTTGATTGATCTGTATGTTTTGACCCTGTTCTGGGATCTTCTTCAGCAGAGGAGTAAATCCCTTCTGGGATCCTCTTCAGCAGAGGAGTGGATCTCTTCTGAGATCCTCTTCTGCAGAGGAGTGAATTGAGTGGATACCTTCTGGGATCCTCTTCAGCAGAGGAGTGGATACCTTCTAGGATCTTCTTCAGCAGAGGAGTGGATACCTTTTGGGATCCTCTTCAGCAGAGGGGTAGATACCTTCTGGGATCCTCTTCAGTAGAGGAGTGAATACCTTTTGGGATCCTGTTCAGCAGAGGAGTGAATCCCTTCTGGGATCCTCTTCAGTAGAGGAGTGGATACCTTCTGGGATCTTCTTCAGCAGAGGAGTGGATCCCTTTTGGGATCCTCTTCAGCAGAGGGGTAGATACCTTCTGGGATCCTCTTCAGTAGAGGAGTGAATACCTTTTGGGATCCTGTTCAGCAGAGGAGTGAATCCCTTCTGGGATCCTCTTCAGTAGAGGAGTGGATACCTTCTGGGATCTTCTTCAGCAGAGGAGTGGATACCTTCTGGGATCCTCTTCAGCAGAGGAGTGGATACCTTCTGGGATCCTCTTCAGCAGAGGAGTGGATACCTTCTGGGATCCTCTTCAGCAGAGGAGTGGATACCTTCTGGGATCCTCTTCAGCAGAGGAGTGGATACCTTCTGGGATCCTCTTCAGCAGAGGGGTGGATCCCACAAAAAGGTCAAAATTTACAGATCATTCAACCTGTTGGTTATTACTGAGCATTGACAAGTGTTCATTACAATATAGTTATTCCTTGGTAATTGTGATAATCCATAGAGTGTATCATGAGGTGTGCATAAAGTATATGTTCTGTAAACAGTAAGCAGCAGATGTGTCTGCTGGATCAAACAAAAACGGTGGCAGAATGCGCCTTGCAGTTAGTATATGCATCCAAGGAGGCTGGCGGCAACCCTAAAGCCACGCACGCTCACCCGGATGTTGATGATGCGGCTGACACCATGAAGGAGACATTACAGGTATGCCATGGTATTGTAAATGAATGTTATACAATACTGACAAGATAAAGAATTAGACACATGCATCATCTGGGTATTTTCATTTGTAGATGTTTTACCATCCAGTAGTTTTACCAGTATAAATTTGTATTGATAAAGCCACTTGAGGGCAAAAAATCTACAAATAAAGACACTCAGATGTTATACATGTGTGTAATTCTTCACACCATGATATTCAAGAGTATTTAAATACAGAGAAGATATGGAGATATGTTGTAATTGTTGAACAGTAGTATTGGCACACCTCTGGCAAGACAGTGATGGAGTGAATGATGATGAAAGTGTTTCTTCTTTTTTGGGTCACTCTGCCTTGGTGGGAAGTGACCAATGTAAAGAAGCTAAGACATTGTGTAGTTTTAAAAATAAGTTGGATAAATACATGAGTGGGTGTGAGTTGGACCTGACTATCTTATGCTACTAGGTCGGATGCTGTGCTCCTCCCTTAAGTGACATGATTGACCTGACTAGGTCAAGGTGTTGGCTTAAGCCAGTGGGAGAATTGGACCTGCCTCGCATGGGCCAGTAGACCTGTTGCAGTGTTCCATCTTTCTTATGTTCTTATGTTCAAAAAAAAATAGCATTCTGAGAGGGAGAAGAGAATGGCCAGTAATGGCAATTGTGATGGATATACAGTGGTACCTGAGTTTCGAACTTATTTCATTCCAGAATGCTGCTCGAGTGCCAATACCGAACAAATTTGCTCCCATAAGGAATAATGTAAATTAGATTAATCCATTTCAGACCCCCAAAAATACAGTTACAAACGCACTTACACAAATACACTTACATAATTGTTTGAATTGGGAGCTGTTCGAAAATCGCGGTACCGCTGTAGATGTGATTGTTTTCCTGTTATTATAACAACACAATTATGAAGCCAATAACTATTTTCAAATTAGTCAACCCAGCAGATTTTATCCCATATTTATTTTTTTATTTTTTTTTTTTTTTTTTTCAACAAGTCGGCCGTCTCCGTCTGTTAAATTGAGGGGTTTATGTTTTTTTTTTTAATACAATATTTTAAAATTGTGAAATTGTATTGAATAAAATAGGTCAGAACTAATGTTTTTAACTATTGTTGCAGGAGCTACTGCTGACTGTGGAGACTATTGCAACAGAGGCTGGTGTTGTCTCAGGTTTGGTTGAATCAATCACTACAGCAATGCATCACATTGACAGTCCATCCAGAGTACCATCAGAAAATAGCGACAGTTTTGTCGACTATCAAACACGTATGGTCACAGCTGCCAAAGAAATCGCACGACTTGCTCAAGATATGGTATGTTTACTCGTTGCCCATTGCTTCAGCAATAGTCTGACTGTATTTAAGTTTGGATATAAGAAATCAAGAGTTTCACATGAATACTCTTAATATCTCTACTCCATTTTTTTTTTAAATGTAGTGTAGGTATGCCTCTAGCAAGACAGTGGAGCGAATGATGGAAGTGTTACTTCTTTTTTTTTGGGTCGCCCTACCTTGGTGGGACACAGTCGATGTGTTAATTAAAAAAAATTCTCTTTTCAGGTCTCTTCCCACCTCATGAAAATGAAAAAACTGTGATATTGGGGAATAAATTGTACTGACAAAGATAAAGGGATAATTTGGGGATGAACTTCTTGACTGAAATCATAAGCTGTGGGAGCGTCAACAGTGTGTATGATGGGATTCAGGAAAACCAGCCAGTCAGACTAGTTTTGGCATCCTGTGGTTGATAGTCACTCCACTGCAATCCTGTGCCTGTACTGTGAAGGATGGGTGGGAATGTTACAATTCTGGAGGCGGGAAGTACAGTGCCTGCACTCTGAAAGAGGGTTAGGGATGTTACGGTTTGGATGGTCATCTGAACTGTCATGTCAGCATGCTTCTGGCAAGAGAGCAATTGAATGAATGATGGTGAATGCATATCCTCCTATTTTTTGAGGTCAGCTTACCTTAGTGAGAGACAGACAGTGTGTTAAAAAAAAAATATTTTATTTTTTCAGGTGGGCAAGGCCACAACAGATGCTTCGCAGCTAGGAAATCTTGGTGCTAGCGTGTCTCACCAGTACGGTTCTCTCTCCTCTGACTCTGCTGGGGCTATACGACAAACCACAAACGTTGAAGTCGGAAGCCGATTACGTAGCAGGTTAGTTAACTATACAGTCCTCTCTCTAGTTATTTACTAGACCAATTACATTTTTTTAACTCACCGGCCATATCCCACCAAGGCAGGGTGACCTAAAAAGAAAAAACAAAAGCTTTTCTTTTTAAATTCAGTAATTTATACAGGAGAAGGTGTTACTAGCACCTTGCTTCCGGCATTTTAATTGCTGCTTATGACACATGGCTTACAGAGGATGGATTCTTTTTCTACTCAATCAAAATATTTGCAATTGAAGAAATATCTTTTTCATTTTTACAGTGTTCATGAGCTGGGTCAGGCATGTATTGAGCTGGTGAAGGCCGGAGGATCTTGCCAGGCTGCTCCAAATGACACCTTCAGTCAGAGAGATTTGTCCGAGTCTGCTCGTCAAGTTAAAGAGAAGGTTTGTTCCACCATGTATATCGACTTTTTATTTATACACTTAAGACTCAAATATTAATTTAGACATGAATTTTTAAACTCGATAATTAAAGCAAAATAATATTAGCTGCTGTTAATAATACTCAAATAATTTGCACATAGGAGAAAGAAACATATGACAGTGTTAAGCCTTTGAGGGTGGGTGCCGTAGTATCACAGCTTTGAAGTACAGGTCGATGCCGTAGTTCTACGTGATGAGCTGATCTCTCACATAAGCTGTGAGTGGTAAACTTGGGCCTAGATATGAGAGAATGAGTCTATGCAGTAAGTATGCTCCATATAAGAAAAATCCTCCAGCATGCAGTGTACAATGGGGAAAAATCTCAGCGTTTTTGGTTTAAAGCAGCGACTTTGCTGTGTATTGTTGTATGTTTTTTATGGTTGTTTTCTTGATTTCTTGGTCTTGTGTAACAGAATGGAAGATATGTTACAGACGTATGATTGTGATTGGTTTCAGGACTGAAAAAAACTTGAAACTGAGCTCAGGGTAGCAGAAATGTTTAATTTCTGCCGATATTCCAGAGTAGACAAATTCCATCACTCGTGCAATACACGTCTAACTGGTCAATCTAAAATGCATTCAGGAATGCACTAATGTTAGTTATACAATTATTACAATAATGCAGTAGTCTGCATAACAGTAAATCTTCTATTTCTTGTGTGAATAAAAATTCAAAATGGAAATCAGTGTAGTATAGGAGAGGCCTGGTCACGTAACTGATGAACAAAGGAAATGTTTGTTTTAGTGTCAGGAATGTCTACATTGTTTATTCTGGACCATATTTTGAAATTGGCAATTTTGTGTGAAATTAGCCAAATTACCAATTTCTGATCACTTTATTGGGTAGTTGAAATAGGTAAATGAGCAATTTCTTGTACTCAGTCGATAGAATAGAAGGCATATACTAGTGAAATTGCTACAAGTTTGGGCGACTGGAACAATGGAACTGGCCAAAAATAGGGTTCAAAGTGGGCGCAATCGTTGATGTGTAAATATTGCAGAGATCACTGACCACTAGCTTTGCGAGAGTATAATTCCATAAATTTTCCATCAAATTTCGTACTCTTGGTTTCGTTACCTTCTAAAAAAGATTCTCTATAATTTCATAAGTTTTTTTTAAATTCTTCGACCCTGAGAGCAATTCTCAGATCAGGTTCTGACCCTGAAAGGGTTAATGGATGAAATCAGACCAATAGGTCATCATATGCTTTTCTCTCCTATGTGCAGGTTATTTGTGTATTGTTCCTGTTATGGTATTGTGCCTTCTTATTCCTTGCAATTATTTTATTTGCAGGCATCACATGTTTTGGCTGCCCTCCAAGCCGGCTCCCGGGGCACTCAAGCGTGTATCAATGCTGCATCAACTGTCTCTGGCATCATTGGTGATTTAGATACAACTATTATGTTCGCTACTGCTGGCACACTTAATGCAGAGAAAGAAGGCGAAAACTTCTCCGATCACCGCGAATACATTCTGAAAACTGCTAAGGTAACCATGAGAAGCATTGCCCAAATTGTAAAATTCGCTCACATTCTTACATTCTGAAAACTGCCAGAAGGTTTGTCATGCCGTTTGGAATGTCTTGACAAAGCTCCTGGAGAGCAAAACATTGCCACAATAAAATGTCACGTTCACTGCATCTGTGTCCATTTATCTGACAAGTGCACAGATGTCTTTGTCAACAATTGCATTTCAAGTCTGTATAAATACAAATTTATATTTTTTAAATGTTGTCTTTTGTCTCCCGGCTGGTTGATTTTTGTAAAGCTTTTCTCTTTACAAAGTACAATGCAGATACAGCCTCTCCTCACCTAACGACGGAGTTCTGTTCCTAAGACAACGTTGGTAAACGAATTCGTTGCTAAATGAGGAGGATACTGTAATAGTAGTGGGTTTGTGTCAACCATCCTGATATTGTTTTAATGTCACCCTTGCACCACTTATAACATTTCTGGTATATTTTTAAATGTTTATACAGTAGTGAACTGTATATTGTAATAAGCAGAATAGAGAAAATCAGCTCTAATATACGTTATTTAGGTATGCATACTGGTCAGAGAACTCATCGTAAGTGCGAGTCATTGGTAAACAAGTACGTCGCTAAGTGAGGAGAGGCTGTATTGCATTTTCCTAGGAATTAGTCATTGTTCATTTTAATTTTCAGGCTTTGGTAGAGGATACCAAGACACTTGTGGCTGGGGCAGCATCCTCACAAGAACAGTTGGCCGTTGCTGCTCAGAATGCAGTATCAACAATAGTGCAACTGTCAGATATTGTGAAAAGTGGAGCCTCTTCACTAGGCGCCAACAACCCCGAACCTCAGGTAAAAATGTGCATTGTCAAGCTATCTTATAAATGTAGAAAATTTTTAATAATTGCAGTGTGAGGTGTTGTACATCCTAATACAGTTATGCTATGAGGAGAATGGTCCATCTTGATCTGTAACTTGAATCCAGTGCAAAACTCTTAAAAAAACACCTAAAATTGTACCCTTATCGCCCAGTGTTCATTCAAGAGTTAGCAGACTGATTTAAACTGCATGTGCGAAAAATAATATTTCTAGAATATTTCTGTTGTATTTTTGGTTTCGTATGTTAGTGCATGTAAACTTTTTGAAAGAACAGGCACTCATGTATTAAGAATTCTAAAAGGATTATTGTTATTATTTTTTTTTTTTTTCAATGAACCGGCCATATCCTACCAAGGCAGGGTGACCTAAAAAGAAGAACGAAAGTTTCTTTTTTTAAATTTAGTAATGTATACAGGAGAAGGGGTTAATACAGAAGAAGAGGGCTAATTATTATTATTTTTTGCACACCAGCTGTCTCCTACTGAGGCAGGACGACCCATAAAAGAAGAAACACACTCATGAAGTTTTTCTTCTTTTTACGTTTATTAATTTATTATTATTACAGTAGTTCCCATACATCTGTGGGGATGCGTTCCAAGACCTGCCGTAGATGCCCGAAACCGTGGATAGTGGCGAACCCTATATGTGTCATTTTTCATTTACACACATAACTATAATAAAGTATAATTCATAAATTATGCACAATAAGTTGAGAATTATCGCTTTTTCGCTGATGGGAAGCACTTCACGGCCTTTCTTAGGCTTTGAAAAACTGCCACCATCACAACTTTGGGTTTTGGGGTCATTATTAACCCTTTCGGGGTTTCGGCCGTACTAGCACGTCTTATGTACAGGGGTTTTTGACGTACTAGTACGCATAAATTCTAGCACTGTCAAATCTAGTGAGAGAAAGGTGGTAGGCCTACATATGAAAGAATGGGTCTATGTGGTCAGTGTGTGCAGTATAAAAAAAATCCTTCAGCACACAGTGCGTAATGAGAAAATTTTTTTTTAACATGTTTTTGGATTAAAACAGCGACTTTGCACTGTATTTTTGTATGGTATTTATTGTTGTATTCTAGTTTTCCTGGTCTCATTTTATAGAATGGAAGACATATTACAGAAATTGAGATGATTTTGGCTGGTTTTACAATGAAAAGTACCTTGAAATTGAGCTCAAAGTAGCAGAAATGTTCGATTTTTACCAAAGTTCAAAAGTAAACAAATCATGCCACGTGTCCAATACACGTCAACTGGTGAGTCTAATATTCTTTCACAAGTGCGCTGATATTATTTATACCATTTCTACACCATTTCTACACTAATGCAGTAGTCTGCATAACAGTAAATCTTCTATTTTTTTTGTGAGAAAAATTCAAAGTGGAAAGCAAAAGAATGTAAGAGGGGCATGGGAACATGACTAATGAACAGAGGAAATGTTATTTTAGTGACAGGAATGTCTTTCTTGTTTATTCTGGACTCTATTTGGAAATTGGCATCTTTTGAAATTTGTGTGAAATTGTCAAAATTGCTAAATTCTGACCACTGTATTGGATAGTTGAAATCGGTAAATGGGTGGTTTACCGATTTCATAGAAAAATGGAGCTCTAGCGAAATAGTTATGATTTTTGTCGACTAGTACACTGGAATTGGCTGAAAATAGGGCTCAAAGTGGGCAAAGTCGTCGATGCGTAAACATCGTCGAGACCGCTAGCTTCGCAAGAGCATATTTCCGTAAATTTTCCATCAAATTTCATACTTTTGGTGTCATTATGGTCGGGAAAAGATTCTCTATCTTTTCATAAGAAAAAATAATTTTTTTTTTTTTTGAAATTTGGCCGACCCTGAGAACAAGTCTCTGAGAGGACCTGCCGACCCCCAAAGGGTTAAACAGAATTAAGGTTTTTTTTGGGCCACAGTAAACAGTGGATATAAGGGGGTTCTACTGTATTATCTTTATAAGTAACTTTGTAAAAGAAAAAAAAGCCTCCTTAGGTAAATAATTAGTAAAAACATGTACTCTATCTTAAATAAATCTTCAAAATATTTAAGTATTAGCCAAGTATTTTCTAATTTTAAAAAAAAAAAAATTCTTCTTTTTTCAACAAACCGGCCATATCCCACCAAGGCAGAGTGACCCAAAAAGAAAAACGAAAGTTTCTCTTTTTAAATTTAGTAATTTATACAGGAGAAGGGGTTACTAGGCCCTTGCTTCCTTTAAAAAATTTATTGTGGTTTAATATTTCAGGTGATGTTATTGAATGCAGTGAAAGATGTTGCAATGGCTCTGGGAGATCTGATTCATGCCACCAAGGCTGCTTCTGGCAAGTCCCTCAATGATCCTGCAATGACCTCTCTCAAGGAGTCAGCAAAGGTAGGATGACCTCCTGTAGCATTAGTAATAATGGCAGAATTGCCCACAGTATGTTAGGTAAAAGGACATGCTAATGTAACATTTCATTGTGGCAATAAAATGTTAACATTAGTTGAATTTGTGTCCATTTACCTAATGCCTTTTGTGAGATCTCTCTTAGGCTTTCTTAGTGAGGTAATGTGACACATAATAGGATAGTAAGGCTAATTGTATTGCAGTTTCTGTTATTAATGGGACCAGACCACTCCTCTTGTCGAGTGGATGAAAATAATCTATTATAAATCTGGAAAGAGCACCAAAAGTATGGCTAGGAATTGTTTTAAAAACAGATAGTGCTGTAAAATATTTACATCAGGTTCCATACACAAATAACCTGTACTCAGGAGACCGACACTTTTTTTTTTATTATTAACCCTTAAACTGTCCAAAGAAATTTACGTTCACATGTGTAGTGCTCCAAAAGTAGATCTACGTTTGTTTACATATTTTCAAATATAAAAAAAAATAAGATCAAAGTTTTTTTACACGTTTTCAAATGTAAAAAAAAAAGAAAAGAAGATCTACCTTTTTTTACACACTTTCAAATGTTGAAAAAACGTAGATCTACCTTTGGACAGTTTAAGGGTTAACACACCGGCCATTTCTTACCAAGGCAGGGTGACCCGAAAAAGGAAAACTTTCACCATCATTCACTCCATCATTGTCTTGCCGGAGGCATGCTTACACTACAGTTATAAAACTGTAACATTAACGCCCCTCCTTCAGAGTGCAAACACTGTACTTCCCATCTCCAGGACTCAAGTCTGGTTTTCCGGTTCCCCTGAACCCCTTCATAAATATTATTCTGCTCACACTCCAACAGCACGTCAAGTCCTAAAAACCATTCGACTCCACCCACTCCTATCTAACACGCTCACGCATGCTTGCTGGAAGTCCAAGCCACTTGCACACAAAACCTCCTTTACCCCCTCCCTGCAGCCTTTCCTAGGCCAACCTCTACCCCACCTTCCCTCCACTACAGATTTATACACTCTCGAAGTTATTCTGTTTTGTTCCATCCTCTATCTACATGTCCGAACCACCTCAACAACCCCTCTTGAGCCCTCTGGATAATAGTTTTGGTAATCCTACACCTCCTAATTTCCAAACTACAAATTTTCTGAATTATATTCACATCACACATTCTTCTCAGGCATGACACCTCTACTGCCTCCAGCCTTCTCCTTGTTAAAGCATTCATCACCTATGCTTCACACCCATACAGGAGTGTTGGTATAACTATACTCTCATACATTCCCCTGTTTGCTTCCATGGACAAAGTTCTTTGTCTCCACAGACTCCTCAGTGCACCACTCACTTTTTTTCCGTTGTCAATTCTGTGATTCACCTCATCTTTCATAGACCCATCTGCTGACACATCAACTCCTAAATATCTGAATACAGTCACGTCCTCCATACTCTCTCCCTACAATGTTAGATTCTGACTTGCACCATTAACTAGGCATTAACTAGTTATTGGTGCATGTCGGTCCAAAACGTCATCCTAAGTTTTATTCTTCTGTGTGCGGGTTGTATTAATGTTGGTAGAATTACCGACAATATGTTAGGTAAAAGGACACAAGTGCAACTACTGTGACATTTTATTGTGGCAACGTTTTACTCTCCAGGAGCTTTGTAAAGCCGTTACCTTGATTAGTTGCACTTGTGTCCTTTTATATATGTGGGTTATTTGTGTATTTTTCCAATCACGGTATTGTGCCTTTTTCTTCTTCATAAAGTTCTGTATGTGGCTGAATGCTGTCATGACTAAGCAGTAGCAACAGAAATAAAAAGTACAGTACAGTGGACCCCTGGTTTATGATATTATTTCATTCCAGAAGTATTTTTCAGGTGCCAGTACTGACCGAATTTGTTCCCATAAGGAATATTTTGAATTAGATTAGACCATTTCAGACCCCCAAATATACACATACAAATGCACTTACATAAATACACTTACATAATTGATCGTAAACCGGGGGTCCACTGTATTTTGAGAGGAAAATAATGGAAGATATTTGGGTGTAATAGTAGAGGTTGTTAGTAGGGTAAAATAAAGTCAGTATAAATTTGTCTTGAATCTCAAATTCAAAGAGCTGTTTATTTTTTAGCTTTTTTAGTGAAATCATTACCATCCTGTGGATGATAGTCACCCCAGTGCCATCCTGTGGATGATAGTCACCCCAGTGCCATCCTGTGGATGATAGTCACCCCGGTGCCATCCTGTGGATGATAGTCACCCCAGTGCCATCCTGTGGATGATAGTCACCCCAGTGCCATCCTGTGGATGATAGTCACCCCGGTGCCATCCTGTGGATGATAGTCACCCCGGTGCCATCCTGTGGATGATAGTCACCCCAGTGCCATCCTGTGGATGATAGTCACCCCAGTGCCATCCTGTGGATGATAGTCACCCCAGTGCCATCCTGTGGATGATAGTCACCCCAGTGCCATCCTTTGGATGGTAATCACTACTGGAACAATTGTAGAAGTCTTCAAGAGGAAACTGGACAAGTATCTTCACCAGGTGCCAGATTAACTAGGCTGTGATGGATATATGGGTCAGCAGGTCACCAACAGCAACAGCCTGGTTGACCAGGCAAGCACCAGATAAGCCTGGCCCATGACCAGCCTCCAAGGGTAGAAAAACTCTCCCAACTCATCAGACATATACAGGAGAGAATTTAAATAAGTTGACTTAAATACCTCAAAACCAAATTTAATGGTATTTATTAAAACGACCACAAAAATGTTAAACTGCTATACAGTATTGACAAAGAAGAACTAAGCAAGATATCACTGTTTAATATTGACAGAGAAATGGAACTCAGTAAGATATCTCTTAAGATATTGAATTGATGTTCTTAAGAACCAGCCTAATGGTACTTGAACATTTTGAAGACGACCTTGCACCCTCTGCTAGGAGAAGGAAGGACCTGGCGGGTGATGCCACTCGGAACTCATCGCTTGAGGTACTCGCTTAGTTTTTTTTTTTTTTTAACACATCAGCTGTCTCCCACCAAGGCAGGGTGACCCCAAAAAGTGAAAGAAATTCTTTCACCATCATTCACACTATCACTGTCTTTGCAGGAGTGCTTGGTTATAATAATAATGATAATAATAATTGAGGTGCCCATGGACAGGTAATCTTGGCAGCATTATCACTGTTTGAAAATATAAAAATAAAAATCTAGAATGTCAACATGGAGTTCCGTATACTATACACGGCATATATAAGACCAACATTAATGTGGTATCAAATAATTCACTCACTAAGCATGTAAAGAAATTTAAGAGAGTTTAAATATTTGGCACGAGGACAATTTTTTGGAACTAAAGTAACTGGATTAAGCGGCTACACTAAGAGAGCGGCACTGTACGACCCCGATGGTTTAGTGCTTAGTTTTGATTATAATAATAATGTACTAAGAGAATTAATTTTTATATTAATAGGGAAAACAAGACGCAGAGAGAACATAGTCAGAATGTAGAAAATAGCTAGGAATAGTGTATTGATGAAGAGGATACACAGGAGCTGTTGGAAAACTGAAACTGTGCACATTTAAGTGAGCCAGAGATTAGATCCATAGGAGTGTCTGTGTGTATGTTTGTGTGTGTATATGTTTAGTAATAGATAGAGAATAGTCTTCAAATTTGGGAAAGTCTGGTCCTTAACCTTGTCTTTTAAGGGAAAGAGGAACATTCAGATGTCAAGGTAGATAATAGAATTTCTTTATATTCTGGGGATGTTTTTAAGCAAGACATAATTACAAAGCTACAGTTTTTAACCCAATTCCAGTATTCTAAATTTGGTGCTTATCAAGGAAATAGAATGAACATAATTTTAGCTTAAAGTTTTCAATATGTCTTGATCCATTTGTTATTAAATGAATATTTTTATTTTAAATGTTGGTGACCCGTGTATATATATGTTTACTGTGACGTGCCCTGTGCTGCTGCATGTAATTTTTCTTAATGATTAGCTTCCTCCTGTGTATCTTACTGGTGATTGATGGTGTTATTTTGCTAGCTTTAATTTCAACTGCAAGATTTGGATCTCTCTTATAATAACAATCAACATAGACTCGTATATCTTGTATTCGTACCAGAATTATCTCAGTTTTTAAGGATTAACCATCATTAATATTACTTTTTTTTTAACACACCGGCCGTCTCCCACCGAGGTAGGGTAACCCAAAGAGAAAAACAAAAGTTTTTCTTTTTGCATGTATTATTAGTCCATAGGGAAGTGGAGAAGACTCCTTCCTCCATAAGTCATGCATGTCGTAAGAGGCGACTGAAACGCCGGGAGCAAGGCACTAGTAACCCTTTCTCCTGTATAATTATTAAACGTAAAAAGAAAAAACTTTATGAAAGTGGTTTTTCCTGTTTTGGGTCACCTTGCTGTGTGGCAAACAGCCGGTGTGTTGAAAAAGAAAAAAACGTAGTAATAGTCTTCCTTTTATGTAGTCATTATACATCACAGTTTCTTTAAGTTTTACTGTCCAGAATATCTTATATTATACTTGAGCTTGAGCTGAGGGATGACCATAGACACATCCCATGAAGATGTACACAGCTCTGACACCTTCTTTATGGTTCTTGTTAGTTGTCTATATTAACCACCTATCAACTACCTGGGAGTTACTAAGACTCCTTGTCATTTGTACATCATCAGCCAAGAATACTGTAATTCCTCTGATGGATATTGATGTAAACTTATTTTTATAAATTAGGTTTTTTGGGTGGGAAGCTGAAATGTTTTTCCAAAAAATTGTCTTGTTACCTTTGAAGAATAAAAATGCACAATACCGTAACTGGAACAATAAACATATAACCCGCACGTAGGAGAGAGAAACTTACGACGATGTTTTGGTCCACTTTAGACCATCTACAAAATCACACTAATACAGTGGACCCCCGGTTAACGATATTTTTTCACTCCAGAAGTATGTTCAGGT